TGCAGTCGGCTGAACAAATCTCCTTTTGCCCGGCTCGCCTGTGGTTAGTATGGGCTTGCAACTTTTGCCCGCTAAATTGAACTGGTTTCCATTTTCTCCTCTCGCCCTCTCTCTCGCCCCCTCTCTCTCTCTCTCTCTCTCTCTCTCTCGTAAATTGCGCCTCCCCCGGGGGCGGCAAACCGACTTACTGCCAGACACGGGAGCTGCTAAAAAACAGGGACACCTTTTTAGGGAGGGTCAATGAGAGAGGGAGAGGAGAGAGAGAGAGGGGAGAGAGAGATGGAGAGAGCGAAAGAAGGAGCGAGTGAAGTGTGAAAGCTAGAGCTTGCACAGAACCCTGGAACGATACGTTCGAGTTCATAATTCCATTTTTCGTCTCTCTTTCTCTCTTTTTTTCGCTCTCTTTCCCCCTCCCTCTCCCTCTCTCTTTCCCCCTCCCTCTCCCTCTCTCTTTCTCTCACTCTCTCGGTCTCTCTCTTTTTAGCTATATTTTTAGGCCATTTTTCTTGCTGCTCCTTTTTTGTTGCTCCGCCTCGTAAAGCCGGAAATTTGAGAAGGCTGGAGAAGCCGAAGGGGCCTGACAAAAAAATGGCTGGCCATCGGGCCACACTACTGCTTTTGCACGTTCCTTTAAAGGAAATTCCGCACCGCCATGCGCAAATAAATTGATTTTGAGGTGTGCCTGTCCCTTCAAAGCTAAAAAAGTGAACTCATTAAATTTCCCCCTGGTTTTCCACTACGCTCCAATTAACACGCCCTTCATCTCTGAAAAACCGCCCCCAAAAAACAAGGAGCTTTCTTGCTACATGGCGGTGATTTGTCATTTTTCGAGATTGCGATGTGCGGGTAGATGAGTGAGTGATTGAAGAGAGCAATGGGGAAAATCGGCCTCGATTGGATGGCGCTCGGTTTTGAAATGATTTTCGGGGTGACTGGGGGGTTTCTTGGGGTGTGGCCTTTCCACAATTCAATCCTCCAGCCGATTGCCGACAATTTTCGGGGGCGCCGGCATGCAACTTCCGGTCCGCACGCTCGCTAGAATTATTTATTAGTCGATCGGCGGGTCAATTGAGTTTAAAAACAAATATATAAAAACGAATAACTAGAATTCTACATTAAGGCCAGTAGAATATCGAATTTTATGAGGTTTTTTAGACGATTAGATACCTTTAAACCCAACCAATTGAAGCACAGGAATAATCAATATTTATCTGGCAATTAAATACTTATGTACAAGCCATTTTAGTAGGTTTTTAGGGTCATTCTATACTATTACACTTACCCTGACTGCAGGGCTAATCCAGATTCAGGTTTTTCTATGGATTTCTGACTTCACGAGCCCTTTAAAACCAATGTTCCGTAACACTCCGATGGTGAAACTACTGAAAACGGCCAAACCCTCGCCGAAACCCTCTAAAACTGGCTAGAATTAATTGGGGGAACACAAGAGGGGAGAGTGAGAGAGAGCGAGACCGAGAGAGAGTACCCAGGAAGGAGTGCATGTCAAGAAACAATTCTGGGTACATAGTAGTGTATCGGAATCGTAGAAATCGGAGCTTTTTGCTCTGATTTTCTGCTTCTCTGCACTCTCATCGACTTCTTTCTCTCTCTTGACTTCTAAAATAATTAGAATCGATCACGTAACGGTAATTAATTCGGGTTCTCGGCCTTTTTGAAGGCCTTGTGAAGTCAAGCCAAGGGGAAATCCGGGTTTTATTTGGACAACAGCGAATAGTTGCCTTCATCGTTCCTTTAAGAACAGGAATACAGGTTGTTAGCGTATTTTAAAGTATCAGGACTACACCTATAATTGGGTTTACCCTTTTCCAAAAAACCGGAAGCGGTTGCCGATTGTCTGGCGGAGCGAAACGGAATGGAATGGCTGCGAATAAAATGTCCGTGATGGCCACTGGGGCGTCTATTTTTTGGGTGGTTTGCGTGCCTTTGCGATTCTCTAGCCCGGGAGAGAGAGACAGAGAAAGAGAAAGAGAGACAGAGAGAGAGAGAGAGAGAGAGAGATGGCTAGAAAAAAGAAGCGAGGGGCGAAAGGGCCAGCCCGATGCGATGCCATGGCCCGAACTCAATCCAACCAGCCTTCAACCAACACAGACACACGCGCAGATACAAACTAACCCCCGAAATGATGCCCCCACACACCCCCCAGTCCACCCCCACGATTTTTCCGTTTTACCCCAATTTACGATTGCCACACCATGCAGGGTTGTTCTAAACACTTTCACTCAAACGCTCGATCTCTGCTCTGAACTTTTCGTGTATTTTTGGGATTTTTGAATGGTTTTTGGATTCTAGCGTGAATTCATTCTATGCATTCGATTACGCCATATCAGTCGGCCCAAAAATACCAAATCGGTTCCGTAATGGTCTCTGTTAGTTTTTTTTGCAAGGAGTATCTCGTTCTGTCTCTTTCTCTTTCTCTCTTTCTCTTGCGTTTTCTCTCCCAAGTTTCGAATTTTTTACTGTTTTCCTCATTTCCCGCGTCCAAAAGCTGGTTCTTGAGGTTAGATTATCGCGACATGGCTTCTCTCTCTCTCTCTCTCTCTCTCTCTCTCTCTCTCCGCATCAATTTTTCCTGACAACCCGGGTGACCCTCCGTCGACCTTCCCAAAAAATATCGCGCTTTATTTCAAAAGCCAATGCGCACGTCTCGAGCGTTTCTCTCTCTCTCTCTCTCTCTCACTCGCTCGCTCGCTCTCTCTCTCTCTCTCTCTCTCTCTCTCTCTTTTCCAAAAGGCCATGCATTTGGATGGCCGTTCGCGGGCGTATCTTTTTCGTCGGGTCTCTAATGGATCCATGGGTGTCTTTCGGAATTTGCGCTTTTATTTTTATCGCATTTATCGTTAGTGGGTTTCTACGTATTCGCTTCATCCTAAAGAATCTCTGCTGGCTTGCCCGAGTTCTTGAGAAATGGTCGAAAAATAGGGGTGAGTCATGTAACGTTTTCTCTCGTTCTCTCTAGCGCGCGCTCTCTCTCTCTCGCTCTCTCTCTCTCTCTCTCTCTTCATCTCTCACGCGCTCATTTCATCTCCACTGCCAAATGTTTTGCAGGTGGTGCCCCACAAGAGGCCCAGGCGTTCCTTGGGGCCCAGTGAGGGCCCAACATAGCTAGAGCCAGAGACGCAGAGTGGGCAATGCCAAGGCCAAGGGGAGGGTGAGGGTGAGGTGGATGGAGCGGCTGCCTCCTCCTGCTCGTTGTGCACAGTTGTTGTACTCTTAAGTCGACAGCTAACACTCCCTTCCCTATGCCTTCCTTTCGATTATCATCTATCTGTTTCTATGTCCTCTGTTCGTCTCTCTCTCTCTCTCTCTCTCTCTCTCTCTCTCTCTAAGTATGTCGCTGTGTCCATGAAAAACTGGGCCCGCAAACACCTCACCCTTGAGGAGGGTTTGGGACTCTCATTTATCACTGATGGCAGTTCGCGACTTGATGTCGATATTTTGAGATAGGCACGTTTGCTTAGGCTTAGGCTTGGGGTCAGGCTTTGGCTTCGGCTGAGGCTTTGTCTTAGGCTTGGGCTTAGCTTTAGGCTTAGGTTGGGGCACAGGCTTCAGTTTAGTTTAGGCTCAGGCTCAGGCTAGTCTTAGGTTTGGCTTCGGTTTATGCTTAGGCTTAGCTTAGGCTTAGGCTTGGGCTTGGGTTTAGCCTGGGGCTTGGGCCTAGGCGTAGGCTTAGGTTTAGTCTTATACTTAACCCTTTCATTAAGTTATACCCTATTCGTGCTTGAATATTGGAAAACCCGCGGTCTTTTTCTGAATTTTGAAGTCAATAACTTTGCGCTTTTCGCTCCATCAATGCTACTCCTGTTTCCGCTTTTTTCTGTTCTTCTTGTTAATGAGTAGTAATTAGTTAGTAACAATATTTTGCAACTTCATCCAACCTGACTCATGTCGCTTGAGTCACCTTGTCGAAATCCTGGACCCATCCCTTCCGATATTTCATTAAAGGCACTCGGAAGGGATGTTCCTCTCTCTCTCTCGCTCTCTCCCTCTCCCTCTCTCTCTCTCCCTTCCCCCCCTCCCCCCTTCCTCCCCCCTTTCCCCCCCCCCTTTTCGCCCACTACTATGTTATATCCAAACATCACCGGCGAAATCAAAGTCGGCAAAATGAATGTTCACCATCCAAATCTACAATGCTTATAATTCTCCCCATCGACACCAGACCTTCATTCCCCCTTCTCCTTTTTTGTCGGTCCTCACTAGCCGATTTGTTGGCCTGGTTGCGCAAACTTGGGCCGTGTCGATTGGCGGCTGGTTTTTGTCATCGCGGGCTTGCCCCCCCTCCGACTGCACCTTTCTCCTTTTATGACCATGTTGATGTTGCCACCTTGCTAGTCTGTACCTCAATAGTGCTTTCCAAAGAACATCTCAGAGTAAGAACTATTAAAATTTCTGTCAAGTGCTGAAGAATTTGAATTGGAACGCTTAAATTCCATACTTCTATTTGCCCTCTGTTAAATTTCTCAAGCTTTTCTATTCAAAACATCACGCGGTTATTTTGGAGTTTATCGAATATCCTGCACGATTAGTAGATTTGGAAAAACGACATCTTGCTGTGAATTTTTCGCTATCAAACTAGGTCTCGCTCAAAAACTCCAATATCAACCACCACTCAACCACTCTTTGTAAGGGACCGCTTTCAAAATTAATTAGTTCTATTTACACGAAAGCTTTGTCATGTTTTTCATCATTTCGGCGGTTTCTGACCGCGTTTTATCCGAATCCGAAGAGACCTAAGCTCTAGCTCCTTTCCTCCCTTCAAGTTATCGTTGGCTTCTGACAGTATGACGGAAGGACAACACTACTGAATTTTATATAGCTAATTATAGTTAATTATTAGACATTATAATTAATCAACTATAACTGAAAATGATTTTTTCAAGATGCTGTCACATTTTTAACTCGTGTACCTCTGATTCCTTGACCTAATACCATATATCCCTACTACCTCAACATTTAGCATCCCCTCAGCCAAGCCGTATGGGATGTCGGACCACCCTCGAAAGGGGCAACGTCCGGAGAGGGGTATATCCAAATTCTCCTCTATCAAAACATTATCTTTTTAGTGGAGGGAGAACCACGATGGACAGTCACCAGACGTGAACACTCCGAAACAATACCTCTCTCACCCGCCATCCCCAACGACGATGACGACACGACCGCGGGTGGGTGTCCAGACACGAGGAGCCGTTGCTAATCTACTGCTCCGCCAATCATCCGGAATTTCCAGGTCCATTCCACTCGCGGACGATGACGACCACGGAGCGCGTGCAGATACTGCAGATGCCTGTGCCGATCTCGGACAGTGAGACCGCGCCCGCTCTGCTGCTCGCACTCTCATCCCCGAACGGAAATACGACACAGGTGGGTGATGAAAGAAAACTAAAAGAAAAAGCTAAAACTACCTCTACTACCCTTTATCTCGATTATTCTAAAACAACAACCGGTTCAGTCGATATCGTCGACTGTTACATCTTTGCCAGCCACTGGCACACCACTCATCGGCGGACTGACAGCCAGCGGACTTCCGCTCTTCAATGGTATCCATGTCAACAGGTAGTTATCGGATGAATATTTGGAAGAACAACATCGCTCGATAAACTCTAACTTGCCTGCATGTAACCCTTTGCTGCGCGCGTAAACGCGCTGCGTAGTCGGCAGAAAAGCCTCGTATAATTGCAACGCACCTAATAGGGACTCCCGTCACACAACCACCGTCATTACCACCACTACCACCACCTACCGGGTCATCGAAGTCACCGACTCCGAATCGATGAGCAGCTCCGGCGAATTCGAGAGAGACTTTGAGGTGAGATCAGCATCAACAAACTACTACCTGAAAATTTCAGTTCCTCGACCATCACGGCCAATTGTTGGCTGACGAAGGCGAGCTGACCGTCAACATCCCGCTGCACAGTGTCCGCACACCAGAAAGACTCCAGAATCCCAGCCCGGCAACGTAAGCCCTTAGGATTTGTAGACTAAACATCTCAACACCAGCTTCATCAATTTAGGTACATGATCGTCGGTAAGACCGAATCCACACCGACAACTCCGAACCACCAAAGCGTCCATATGGGTTTCGACATTGCTCCAGTCGAACAGCCCGTTGTAGCCGCAGGAGAGGACGAGTATGAGGTAATAATAACTTCCATTCCAACCATCAACCCCCTCACTTCAGATGGTCGAATACACCATTTCCCCCGCTGGAAGCACATGCGGAGAAGATCAAATTGCATCGACGAGCCGACAGATGGAAATACAAGACGCACCCATCCGCAACTATGTCGATGTCTATCATGTTGGAACGAGCGATAAGGTCGAAATTGACACCATGGTCGAGTATGAAGTCGTCTATGATGAGGAGGAGACTGTCATCCCAGACAAAGCCAATGCCCGTGGAGATTTTGAGCTTACGGAAGAATATGGCGGGCCCATCGACTCCACCCATCGTCACACCGATGTGGAAGGACTACCGTTGGCTTCTCACGTCCAGGTCTACCACCATGGCCGCTCGGATGTTGGAAAGCCATCGCATGTCGTCGTCGAAGAGAAATCGGAAGTCGCAGAGAAGCCGACACTGGCCGACAAGTTCACTGGTCTCTTCAGAAAGGGACCCAGCCACCTCGACTACCCGATCAGCGAGGCATTCGAAGGACCAATCGACTCCACCCATCGTCACACCGATGTGGAAGGACTACCGTTGGCTTCTCACGTCCAGGTCTACCACCATGGCCGCTCGGATGTGCTGAAGCCATCGCATGTCGTCGTCGAAGAGAAATCGGAAGTGCACGACAAGCCGACACTGGCCGACAAGTTCACTGGTCTCTTCAGAAAGGGACCCAGCCACCTCGACTACCCGATCAGCGAGGCTTTCGAAGGACCAATCGACTCCACCCATCGTCACACCGATGTGGAAGGACTACCGTTGGCTTCTCACGTCCAGGTCTACCACCATGGCCGCTCGGATGTGCCTGAACCATCGCATGTCGTCGTCGAAGAGAAATCGGAAGTGCACGACAAGCCGACACTGGCCGACAAGTTCACTGGTCTCTTCAGAAAGGGACCCAGCCACCTCGACTACCCGATCAGCGAGGCTTTCGAAGGACCAATCGACTCCACCCATCGTCATACCGATGTGGAAGGACTACCGTTGGCTTCTCACGTCCAGGTCTACCACCATGGCCGCTCGGATGTGCCTGAACCATCGCATGTCGTCGTCGAAGAGAAATCGGAAGTGCACGACAAGCCGACACTGGCCGACAAGTTCACTGGTCTCTTCAGAAAGGGACCCAGCCACCTCGACTACCCGATCAGCGAGGCTTTCGAAGGACCAATCGACTCCACCCATCGTCACACCGATGTGGAAGGACTACCGTTGGCTTCTCACGTCCAGGTCTACCACCATGGCCGCTCGGATGTTGGAGAGCCATCGCATGTCGTCGTCGAAGAGAAATCGGAAGTGCACGACAAGCCGACACTGGCCGACAAGTTCACTGGTCTCTTCAGAAAGGGACCCAGCCACCTCGACTACCCGATCAGCGAGGCTTTCGAAGGACCAATCGACTCCACCCATCGTCACACCGATGTGGAAGGACTACCGTTGGCTTCTCACGTCCAGGTCTACCACCATGGCCGCTCGGATGTTGGAGAGCCATCGCATGTCGTCGTCGAAGAGAAATCGGAAGTGCACGACAAGCCGACACTGGCCGACAAGTTCACTGGTCTCTTCAGAAAGGGACCCAGCCACCTCGACTACCCGATCAGCGAGGCTTTCGAAGGACCAATCGACTCCACCCATCGTCACACCGATGTGGAAGGACTACCGTTGGCTTCTCACGTCCAGGTCTACCACCATGGCCGCTCGGATGTTGGAGAGCCATCGCATGTCGTCGTCGAAGAGAAATCGGAAGTCGCAGAGAAGCCGACGCTGGCCGACAAGTTCACTGGTCTCTTCAGAAAGGGACCCAGCCACCTCGACTACCCGATCAGCGAGGCTTTCGAAGGACCAATCGACTCCACCCATCGTCACACCGATGTGGAAGGACTACCGTTGGCTTCTCACGTCCAGGTCTACCACCATGGCCGCTCGGATGTTGAGAGCCATCGCATGTCGTCGTCGAAGAGAAATCGGAAGTGCACGACAAGCCGACACTGGCCGACAAGTTCACTGGTCTCTTCAGAAAGGGACCCAGCCACCTCGACTACCCGATCAGCGAGGCTTTCGAAGGACCAATCGACTCCACCCATCGTCACACCGATGTGGAAGGACTACCGTTGGCTTCTCACGTCCAGGTCTACCACCATGGCCGCTCGGATGTGGCTGAGCCATCGCATGTCGTCGTCGAAGAGAAATCGGAAGTGCACGACAAGCCGACACTGGCCGACAAGTTCACTGGTCTCTTCAGAAAGGGACCCAGCCACCTCGACTACCCGATCAGCGAGGCTTTCGAAGGACCAATCGACTCCACCCATCGTCACACCGATGTGGAAGGACTACCGTTGGCTTCTCACGTCCAGGTCTACCACCATGGCCGCTCGGATGTTGGAGAGCCATCGCATGTCGTCGTCGAAGAGAAATCGGAAGTGCACGACAAGCCGACACTGGCCGACAAGTTCACTGGTCTCTTCAGAAAGGGACCCAGCCACCTCGACTACCCGATCAGCGAGGCTTTCGAAGGACCAATCGACTCCACCCATCGTCACACCGATGTGGAAGGACTACCGTTGGCTTCTCACGTCCAGGTCTACCACCATGGCCGCTCGGATGTTGGAGAGCCATCGCATGTCGTCGTCGAAGAGAAATCGGAAGTGCACGACAAGCCGACACTGGCCGACAAGTTCACTGGTCTCTTCAGAAAGGGACCCAGCCACCTCGACTACCCGATCAGCGAGGCTTTCGAAGGACCAATCGACTCCACCCATCGTCACACCGATGTGGAAGGACTACCGTTGGCTTCTCACGTCCAGGTCTACCACCATGGCCGCTCGGATGTTGGAGAGCCATCGCATGTCGTCGTCGAAGAGAAATCGGAAGTGCACGACAAGCCGACACTGGCCGACAAGTTCACTGGTCTCTTCAGAAAGGGACCCAGCCACCTCGACTACCCGATCAGCGAGGCTTTCGAAGGACCAATCGACTCCACCCATCGTCACACCGATGTGGAAGGACTACCGTTGGCTTCTCACGTCCAGGTCTACCACCATGGCCGCTCGGATGTTGGAGAGCCATCGCATGTCGTCGTCGAAGAGAAATCGGAAGTGCACGACAAGCCGACACTGGCCGACAAGTTCACTGGTCTCTTCAGAAAGGGACCCAGCCACCTCGACTACCCGATCAGCGAGGCTTTCGAAGGACCAATCGACTCCACCCATCGTCATACCGATGTGGAAGGACTACCGTTGGCTTCTCACGTCCAGGTCTACCACCATGGCCGCTCGGATGTTGGAGAGCCATCGCATGTCGTCGTCGAAGAGAAATCGGAAGTCGCACGACAAGCCGACGCTGGCCGACAAGTTCACTGGTCTCTTCAGAAAGGGACCCAGCCACCTCGACTACCCGATCAGCGAGGCTTTCGAAGGACCAATCGACTCCACCCATCGTCATACCGATGTGGAAGGACTACCGTTGGCTTCTCACGTCCAGGTCTACCACCATGGCCGCTCGGATGTTGGAGAGCCATCGCATGTCGTCGTCGAAGAGAAATCGGAAGTGCACGACAAGCCGACACTGGCCGACAAGTTCACTGGTCTCTTCAGAAAGGGACCCAGCCACCTCGACTACCCGATCAGCGAGGCTTTCGAAGGACCAATCGACTCCACCCATCGTCACACCGATGTGGAAGGACTACCGTTGGCTTCTCACGTCCAGGTCTACCACCATGGCCGCTCGGATGTTGGAGAGCCATCGCATGTCGTCGTCGAAGAGAAATCGGAAGTGCACGACAAGCCGACACTGGCCGACAAGTTCACTGGTCTCTTCAGAAAGGGACCCAGCCACCTCGACTACCCGATCAGCGAGGCTTTCGAAGGACCAATCGACTCCACCCATCGTCACACCGATGTGGAAGGACTACCGTTGGCTTCTCACGTCCAGGTCTACCACCATGGCCGCTCGGATGTTGGAGAGCCATCGCATGTCGTCGTCGAAGAGAAATCGGAAGTGCACGACAAGCCGACACTGGCCGACAAGTTCACTGGTCTCTTCAGAAAGGGACCCAGCCACCTCGACTACCCGATCAGCGAGGCTTTCGAAGGACCAATCGACTCCACCCATCGTCACACCGATGTGGAAGGACTACCGTTGGCTTCTCACGTCCAGGTCTACCACCATGGCCGCTCGGATGTTGGAGAGCCATCGCATGTCGTCGTCGAAGAGAAATCGGAAGTGCACGACAAGCCGACACTGGCCGACAAGTTCACTGGTCTCTTCAGAAAGGGACCCAGCCACCTCGACTACCCGATCAGCGAGGCTTTCGAAGGACCAATCGACTCCACCCATCGTCACACCGATGTGGAAGGACTACCGTTGGCTTCTCACGTCCAGGTCTACCACCATGGCCGCTCGGATGTTGGAGAGCCATCGCATGTCGTCGTCGAAGAGAAATCGGAAGTGCACGACAAGCCGACACTGGCCGACAAGTTCACTGGTCTCTTCAGAAAGGGACCCAGCCACCTCGACTACCCGATCAGCGAGGCTTTCGAAGGACCAATCGACTCCACCCATCGTCACACCGATGTGGAAGGACTACCGTTGGCTTCTCACGTCCAGGTCTACCACCATGGCCGCTCGGATGTTGCAGAGCCATCGCATGTCGTCGTCGAAGAGAAATCGGAAGTGCACGACAAGCCGACACTGGCCGACAAGTTCACTGGTCTCTTCAGAAAGGGACCCAGCCACCTCGACTACCCGATCAGCGAGGCTTTCGAAGGACCAATCGACTCCACCCATCGTCACACCGATGTGGAAGGACTACCGTTGGCTTCTCACGTCCAGGTCTACCACCATGGCCGCTCGGATGTTGGAGAGCCATCGCATGTCGTCGTCGAAGAGAAATCGGAAGTCGCACGACAAGCCGACACTGGCCGACAAGTTCACTGGTCTCTTCAGAAAGGGACCCAGCCACCTCGACTACCCGATCAGCGAGGCTTTCGAAGGACCAATCGACTCCACCCATCGTCACACCGATGTGGAAGGACTACCGTTGGCTTCTCACGTCCAGGTCTACCACCATGGCCGCTCGGATGTTGGAGAGCCATCGCATGTCGTCGTCGAAGAGAAATCGGAAGTCGCACGACAAGCCGACACTGGCCGACAAGTTCACTGGTCTCTTCAGAAAGGGACCCAGCCACCTCGACTACCCGATCAGCGAGGCTTTCGAAGGACCAATCGACTCCACCCATCGTCACACCGATGTGGAAGGACTACCGTTGGCTTCTCACGTCCAGGTCTACCACCATGGCCGCTCGGATGTTGGAGAGCCATCGCATGTCGTCGTCGAAGAGAAATCGGAAGTGCACGACAAGCCGACACTGGCCGACAAGTTCACTGGTCTCTTCAGAAAGGGACCCAGCCACCTCGACTACCCGATCAGCGAGGCATTCGAAGGACCAATCGACTCCACCCATCGTCACACCGATGTGGAAGGACTACCGTTGGCTTCTCACGTCCAGGTCTACCACCATGGCCGCTCGGATGTTGGAGAGCCATCGCATGTCGTCGTCGAAGAGAAATCGGAAGTGCACGACAAGCCGACACTGGCCGACAAGTTCACTGGTCTCTTCAGAAAGGGACCCAGCCACCTCGACTACCCGATCAGCGAGGCTTTCGAAGGACCAATCGACTCCACCCATCGTCACACCGATGTGGAAGGACTACCGTTGGCTTCTCACGTCCAGGTCTACCACCATGGCCGCTCGGATGTGGCAGAGCCATCGCATGTCGTCGTCGAAGAGAAATCGGAAGTGCACGACAAGCCGACACTGGCCGACAAGTTCACTGGTCTCTTCAGAAAGGGACCCAGCCACCTCGACTACCCGATCAGCGAGGCATTCGAAGGACCAATCGACTCCACCCATCGTCACACCGATGTGGAAGGACTACCGTTGGCTTCTCACGTCCAGGTCTACCACCATGGCCGCTCGGATGTTGGAGAGCCATCGCATGTCGTCGTCGAAGAGAAATCGGAAGTCGCACGACAAGCCGACACTGGCCGACAAGTTCACTGGTCTCTTCAGAAAGGGACCCAGCCACCTCGACTACCCGATCAGCGAGGCTTTCGAAGGACCAATCGACTCCACCCATCGTCACACCGATGTGGAAGGACTACCGTTGGCTTCTCACGTCCAGGTCTACCACCATGGCCGCTCGGATGTTGGAGAGCCATCGCATGTCGTCGTCGAAGAGAAATCGGAAGTGCACGACAAGCCGACACTGGCCGACAAGTTCACTGGTCTCTTCAGAAAGGGACCCAGCCACCTCGACTACCCGATCAGCGAGGCTTTCGAAGGACCAATCGACTCCACCCATCGTCACACCGATGTGGAAGGACTACCGTTGGCTTCTCACGTCCAGGTCTACCACCATGGCCGCTCGGATGTTGAGAGCCATCGCATGTCGTCGTCGAAGAGAAATCGGAAGTGCACGACAAGCCGACACTGGCCGACAAGTTCACTGGTCTCTTCAGAAAGGGACCCAGCCACCTCGACTACCCGATCAGCGAGGCTTTCGAAGGACCAATCGACTCCACCCATCGTCACACCGATGTGGAAGGACTACCGTTGGCTTCTCACGTCCAGGTCTACCACCATGGCCGCTCGGATGTTGCAGAGCCATCGCATGTCGTCGTCGAAGAGAAATCGGAAGTGCACGACAAGCCGACACTGGCCGACAAGTTCACTGGTCTCTTCAGAAAGGGACCCAGCCACCTCGACTACCCGATCAGCGAGGCTTTCGAAGGACCAATCGACTCCACCCATCGTCACACCGATGTGGAAGGACTACCGTTGGCTTCTCACGTCCAGGTCTACCACCATGGCCGCTCGGATGTTGGAGAGCCATCGCATGTCGTCGTCGAAGAGAAATCGGAAGTGCACGACAAGCCGACACTGGCCGACAAGTTCACTGGTCTCTTCAGAAAGGGACCCAGCCACCTCGACTACCCGATCAGCGAGGCATTCGAAGGACCAATCGACTCCACCCATCGTCACACCGATGTGGAAGGACTACCGTTGGCTTCTCACGTCCAGGTCTACCACCATGGCCGCTCGGATGTTGGAGAGCCATCGCATGTCGTCGTCGAAGAGAAATCGGAAGTCGCAGAGAAGCCGACGCTAGCCGACAAGTTCACTGGTCTCTTCAGAAAGGGACCCAGCCACCTCGACTACCCGATCAGCGAGGCTTTCGAAGGACCAATCGACTCCACCCATCGTCACACCGATGTGGAAGGACTACCGTTGGCTTCTCACGTCCAGGTCTACCACCATGGCCGCTCGGATGTTGGAGAGCCATCGCATGTCGTCGTCGAAGAGAAATCGGAAGTGCACGACAAGCCGACACTGGCCGACAAGTTCACTGGTCTCTTCAGAAAGGGACCCAGCCACCTCGACTACCCGATCAGCGAGGCATTCGAAGGACCAATCGACTCCACCCATCGTCACACCGATGTGGAAGGACTACCGTTGGCTTCTCACGTCCAGGTCTACCACCATGGCCGCTCGGATGTGCCTGAACCATCGCATGTCGTCGTCGAAGAGAAATCGGAAGTGCACGACAAGCCGACACTGGCCGACAAGTTCACTGGTCTCTTCAGAAAGGGACCCAGCCACCTCGACTACCCGATCAGCGAGGCATTCGAAGGACCAATCGACTCCACCCATCGTCACACCGATGTGGAAGGACTACCGTTGGCTTCTCACGTCCAGGTCTACCACCATGGCCGCTCGGATGTTGGAGAGCCATCGCATGTCGTCGTCGAAGAGAAATCGGAAGTGCACGACAAGCCGACACTGGCCGACAAGTTCACTGGTCTCTTCAGAAAGGGACCCAGCCACCTCGACTACCCGATCAGCGAGGCATTCGAAGGACCAATCGACTCCACCCATCGTCACACCGATGTGGAAGGACTACCGTTGGCTTCTCACGTCCAGGTCTACCACCATGGCCGCTCGGATGTTGGAGAGCCATCGCATGTCGTCGTCGAAGAGAAATCGGAAGTGCACGACAAGCCGACACTGGCCGACAAGTTCACTGGTCTCTTCAGAAAGGGACCCAGCCACCTCGACTACCCGATCAGCGAGGCATTCGAAGGACCAATCGACTCCACCCATCGTCACACCGATGTGGAAGGACTACCGTTGGCTTCTCACGTCCAGGTCTACCACCATGGCCGCTCGGATGTGCCTGAACCATCGCATGTCGTCGTCGAAGAGAAATCGGAAGTGCACGACAAGCCGACACTGGCCGACAAGTTCACTGGTCTCTTCAGAAAGGGACCCAGCCACCTCGACTACCCGATCAGCGAGGCATTCGAAGGACCAATCGACTCCACCCATCGTCACACCGATGTGGAAGGACTACCGTTGGCTTCTCACGTCCAGGTCTACCACCATGGCCGCTCGGATGTTGGAGAGCCATCGCATGTCGTCGTCGAAGAGAAATCGGAAGTCGCAGAGAAGCCGACGCTAGCCGACAAGTTCACTGGTCTCTTCAGAAAGGGACCCAGCCACCTCGACTACCCGATCAGCGAGGCATTCGAAGGACCAATCGACTCCACCCATCGTCACACCGATGTGGAAGGACTACCGTTGGCTTCTCACGTCCAGGTCTACCACCATGGCCGCTCGGATGTTGGAGAGCCATCGCATGTCGTCGTCGAAGAGAAATCGGAAGTGCACGACAAGCCGACACTGGCCGACAAGTTCACTGGTCTCTTCAGAAAGGGACCCAGCCACCTCGACTACCCGATCAGCGAGGCATTCGAAGGACCAATCGACTCCACCCATCGTCACACCGATGTGGAAGGACTACCGTTGGCTTCTCACGTCCAGGTCTACCACCATGGCCGCTCGGATGTGGCAGAGCCATCGCATGTCGTCGTCGAAGAGAAATCGGAAGTGCACGACAAGCCGACACTGGCCGACAAGTTCACTGGTCTCTTCAGAAAGGGACCCAGCCACCTCGACTACCCGATCAGCGAGGCATTCGAAGGACCAATCGACTCCACCCATCGTCACACCGATGTGGAAGGACTACCGTTGGCTTCTCACGTCCAGGTCTACCACCATGGCCGCTCGGATGTTGCAGAGCCATCGCATGTCGTCGTCGAAGAGAAATCGGAAGTGCACGACAAGCCGACACTGGCCGACAAGTTCACTGGTCTCTTCAGAAAGGGACCCAGCCACCTCGACTACCCGATCAGCGAGGCATTCGAAGGACCAATCGACTCCACCCATCGTCACACCGATGTGGAAGGACTACCGTTGGCTTCTCACGTCCAGGTCTACCACCATGGCCGCTCGGATGTGCCTGAACCATCGCATGTCGTCGTTGAAGAGAAATCGGAAGTGCACGACAAGCCGACACTGGCCGACAAGTTCACTGGTCTCTTCAGAAAGGGACCCAGCCACCTCGACTACCCGATCAGCGAGGCATTCGAAGGACCAATCGACTCCACCCATCGTCACACCGATGTGGAAGGACTACCGTTGGCTTCTCACGTCCAGGTCTACCACCATGGCCGCTCGGATGTTGGAGAGCCATCGCATGTCGTCGTCGAAGAGAAATCGGAAGTCGCAGAGAAGCCGACGCTGGCCGACAAGTTCACTGGTCTCTTCAGAAAGGGACCCAGCCACCTCGACTACCCGATCAGCGAGGCATTCGAAGGACCAATCGACTCCACCCATCGTCACACCGATGTGGAAGGACTACCGTTGGCTTCTCACGTCCAGGTCTACCACCATGGCCGCTCGGATGTTGGAGAGCCATCGCATGTCGTCGTCGAAGAGAAATCGGAAGTGCACGACAAGCCGACACTGGCCGACAAGTTCACTGGTCTCTTCAGAAAGGGACCCAGCCACCTCGACTACCCGATCAGCGAGGCATTCGAAGGACCAATCGACTCCACCCATCGTCACACCGATGTGGAAGGACTACCGTTGGCTTCTCACGTCCAGGTCTACCACCATGGCCGCTCGGATGTTGGAGAGCCATCGCATGTCGTCGTCGAAGAGAAATCGGAAGTGCACGACAAGCCGACACTGGCCGACAAGTTCACTGGTCTCTTCAGAAAGGGACCCAGCCACCTCGACTACCCGATCAGCGAGGCATTCGAAGGACCAATCGACTCCACCCATCGTCACACCGATGTGGAAGGACTACCGTTGGCTTCTCACGTCCAGGTCTACCACCATGGCCGCTCGGATGTGGCTGAGCCATCGCATGTCGTCGTCGAAGAGAAATCGGAAGTGCACGACAAGCCGACACTGGCCGACAAGTTCACTGGTCTCTTCAGAAAGGGACCCAGCCACCTCGACTACCCGATCAGCGAGGCATTCGAAGGACCAATCGACTCCACCCATCGTCACACCGATGTGGAAGGACTACCGTTGGCTTCTCACGTCCAGGTCTACCACCATGGCCGCTCGGATGTTGGAGAGCCATCGCATGTCGTCGTCGAAGAGAAATCGGAAGTCGCAGAGAAGCCGACACTGGCCGACAAGTTCACTGGTCTCTTCAGAAAGGGACCCAGCCACCTCGACTACCCGATCAGCGAGGCATTCGAAGGACCAATCGACTCCACCCATCGTCACACCGATGTGGAAGGACTACCGTTGGCTTCTCACGTCCAGGTCTACCACCATGGCCGCTCGGATGTGCCTGAGCCATCGCATGTCGTCGTCGAAGAGAAATCGGAAGTGCACGACAAGCCGACACTGGCCGACAAGTTCACTGGTCTCTTCAGAAAGGGACCCAGCCACCTCGACTACCCGATCAGCGAGGCATTCGAAGGACCAATCGACTCCACCCATCGTCACACCGATGTGGAAGGACTACCGTTGGCTTCTCACGTCCAGGTCTACCACCATGGCCGCTCGGATGTTGGAGAGCCATCGCATGTCGTCGTCGAAGAGAAATCGGAAGTGCACGACAAGCCGACACTGGCCGACAAGTTCACTGGTCTCTTCAGAAAGGGACCCAGCCACCTCGACTACCCGATCAGCGAGGCATTCGAAGGACCAATCGACTCCACCCATCGTCACACCGATGTGGAAGGACTACCGTTGGCTTCTCACGTCCAGGTCTACCACCATGGCCGCTCGGATGTTGGAGAGCCATCGCATGTCGTCGTCGAAGAGAAATCGGAAGTGCACGACAAGCCGACACTGGCCGACAAGTTCACTGGTCTCTTCAGAAAGGGACCCAGCCACCTCGACTACCCGATCAGCGAGGCATTCGAAGGACCAATCGACTCCACCCATCGTCACACCGATGTGGAAGGACTACCGTTGGCTTCTCACGTCCAGGTCTACCACCATGGCCGCTCGGATGTTGGAGAGCCATCGCATGTCGTCGTCGAAGAGAAATCGGAAGTGCACGACAAGCCGACACTGGCCGACAAGTTCACTGGTCTCTTCAGAAAGGGACCCAGCCACCTCGACTACCCGATCAGCGAGGCATTCGAAGGACCAATCGACTCCACCCATCGTCACACCGATGTGGAAGGACTACCGTTGGCTTCTCACGTCCAGGTCTACCACCATGGCCGCTCGGATGTTGGAGAGCCATCGCATGTCGTCGTCGAAGAGAAATCGGAAGTGCACGACAAGCCGACACTGGCCGACAAGTTCACTGGTCTCTTCAGAAAGGGACCCAGCCACCTCGACTACCCGATCAGCGAGGCATTCGAAGGACCAATCGACTCCACCCATCGTCACACCGATGTGGAAGGACTACCGTTGGCTTCTCACGTCCAGGTCTACCACCATGGCCGCTCGGATGTTGGAGAGCCATCGCATGTCGTCGTCGAAGAGAAATCGGAAGTGCACGACAAGCCGACACTGGCCGACAAGTTCACTGGTCTCTTCAGAAAGGGACCCAGCCACCTCGACTACCCGATCAGCGAGGCATTCGAAGGACCAATCGACTCCACCCATCGTCACACCGATGTGGAAGGACTACCGTTGGCTTCTCACGTCCAGGTCTACCACCATGGCCGCTCGGATGTTGGAGAGCCATCGCATGTCGTCGTCGAAGAGAAATCGGAAGTGCACGACAAGCCGACACTGGCCGACAAGTTCACTGGTCTCTTCAGAAAGGGACCCAGCCACCTCGACTACCCGATCAGCGAGGCATTCGAAGGACCAATCGACTCCACCCATCGTCACACCGATGTGGAAGGACTACCGTTGGCTTCTCACGTCCAGGTCTACCACCATGGCCGCTCGGATGTTGCAGAGCCATCGCATGTCGTCGTCGAAGAGAAATCGGAAGTGCACGACAAGCCGACACTGGCCGACAAGTTCACTGGTCTCTTCAGAAAGGGACCCAGCCACCTCGACTACCCGATCAGCGAGGCATTCGAAGGACCAATCGACTCCACCCATCGTCACACCGATGTGGAAGGACTACCGTTGGCTTCTCACGTCCAGGTCTACCACCATGGCCGCTCGGATGTTGGAGAGCCATCGCATGTCGTCGTCGAAGAGAAATCGGAAGTGCACGACAAGCCGACACTGGCCGACAAGTTCACTGGTCTCTTCAGAAAGGGACCCAGCCACCTCGACTACCCGATCAGCGAGGCATTCGAAGGACCAATCGACTCCACCCATCGTCACACCGATGTGGAAGGACTACCGTTGGCTTCTCACGTCCAGGTCTACCACCATGGCCGCTCGGATGTTGGAGAGCCATCGCATGTCGTCGTCGAAGAGAAATCGGAAGTCGCACGACAAGCCGACACTGGCCGACAAGTTCACTGGTCTCTTCAGAAAGGGACCCAGCCACCTCGACTACCCGATCAGCGAGGCATTCGAAGGACCAATCGACTCCACCCATCGTCACACCGATGTGGAAGGACTACCGTTGGCTTCTCACGTCCAGGTCTACCACCATGGCCGCTCGGATGTTGGAGAGCCATCGCATGTCGTCGTCGAAGAGAAATCGGAAGTGCACGACAAGCCGACACTGGCCGACAAGTTCACTGGTCTCTTCAGAAAGGGACCCAGCCACCTCGACTACCCGATCAGCGAGGCATTCGAAGGACCAATCGACTCCACCCATCGTCACACCGATGTGGAAGGACTACCGTTGGCTTCTCACGTCCAGGTCTACCACCATGGCCGCTCGGATGTTGGAGAGCCATCGCATGTCGTCGTCGAAGAGAAATCGGAAGTGCACGACAAGCCGACACTGGCCGACAAGTTCACTGGTCTCTTCAGAAAGGGACCCAGCCACCTCGACTACCCGATCAGCGAGGCATTCGAAGGACCAATCGACTCCACCCATCGTCACACCGATGTGGAAGGACTACCGTTGGCTTCTCACGTCCAGGTCTACCACCATGGCCGCTCGGATGTGCCTGAACCATCGCATGTCGTCGTTGAAGAGAAATCGGAAGTGCACGACAAGCCGACACTGGCCGACAAGTTCACTGGTCTCTTCAGAAAGGGACCCAGCCACCTCGACTACCCGATCAGCGAGGCATTCGAAGGACCAATCGACTCCACCCATCGTCACACCGATGTGGAAGGACTACCGTTGGCTTCTCACGTCCAGGTCTACCACCATGGCCGCTCGGATGTTGGAGAGCCATCGCATGTCGTCGTCGAAGAGAAATCGGAAGTCGCAGAGAAGCCGACGCTAGCCGACAAGTTCACTGGTCTCTTCAGAAAGGGACCCAGCCACCTCGACTACCCGATCAGCGAGGCATTCGAAGGACCAATCGACTCCACCCATCGTCACACCGATGTGGAAGGACTACCGTTGGCTTCTCACGTCCAGGTCTACCACCATGGCCGCTCGGATGTGCCAGAGCCATCGCATGTCGTCGTCGAAGAGAAATCGGAAGTGCACGACAAGCCGACACTGGCCGACAAGTTCACTGGTCTCTTCAGAAAGGGACCCAGCCACCTCGACTACCCGATCAGCGAGGCATTCGAAGGACCAATCGACTCCACCCATCGTCACACCGATGTGGAAGGACTACCGTTGGCTTCTCACGTCCAGGTCTACCACCATGGCCGCTCGGATGTTGCAGAGCCATCGCATGTCGTCGTCGAAGAGAAATCGGAAGTCGCACGACAAGCCGACACTGGCCGACAAGTTCACTGGTCTCTTCAGAAAGGGACCCAGCCACCTCGACTACCCGATCAGCGAGGCATTCGAAGGACCAATCGACTCCACCCATCGTCACACCGATGTGGAAGGACTACCGTTGGCTTCTCACGTCCAGGTCTACCACCATGGCCGCTCGGATGTTGGAGAGCCATCGCATGTCGTCGTCGAAGAGAAATCGGAAGTCGCAGACAAGCCGACACTGGCCGACAAGTTCACTGGTCTCTTCAGAAAGGGACCCAGCCACCTCGACTACCCGATCAGCGAGGCATTCGAAGGACCAATCGACTCCACCCATCGTCACACCGATGTGGAAGGACTACCGTTGGCTTCTCACGTCCAGGTCTACCACCATGGCCGCTCGGATGTTGGAGAGCCATCGCATGTCGTCGTCGAAGAGAAATCGGAAGTCGCACGACAAGCCGACACTAGCCGACAAGTTCACTGGTCTCTTCAGAAAGGGACCCAGCCACCTCGACTACCCGATCAGCGAGGCATTCGAAGGACCAATCGACTCCACCCATCGTCACACCGATGTGGAAGGACTACCGTTGGCTTCTCACGTCCAGGTCTACCACCATGGCCGCTCGGATGTGGCAGAACCATCGCATGTCGTCGTCGAAGAGAAATCGGAAGTGCACGACAAGCCGACACTGGCCGACAAGTTCACTGGTCTCTTCAGAAAGGGACCCAGCCACCTCGACTACCCGATCAGCGAGGCATTCGAAGGACCAATCGACTCCACCCATCGTCACACCGATGTGGAAGGACTACCGTTGGCTTCTCACGTCCAGGTCTACCACCATGGCCGCTCGGATGTTGGAGAGCCATCGCATGTCGTCGTCGAAGAGAAATCGGAAGTCGCAGACAAGCCGACGCTAGCCGACAAGTTCACTGGTCTCTTCAGAAAGGGACCCAGCCACCTCGACTACCCGATCAGCGAGGCATTCGAAGGACCAATCGACTCCACCCATCGTCACACCGATGTGGAAGGACTACCGTTGGCTTCTCACGTCCAGGTCTACCACCATGGCCGCTCGGATGTTGGAGAGCCATCGCATGTCGTCGTCGAAGAGAAATCGGAAGTGCACGACAAGCCGACACTGGCCGACAAGTTCACTGGTCTCTTCAGAAAGGGACCCAGCCACCTCGACTACCCGATCAGCGAGGCATTCGAAGGACCAATCGACTCCACCCATCGTCACACCGATGTGGAAGGACTACCGTTGGCTTCTCACGTCCAGGTCTACCACCATGGCCGCTCGGATGTTGGAGAGCCATCGCATGTCGTCGTCGAAGAGAAATCGGAAGTCGCAGACAAGCCGACGCTGGCCGACAAGTTCACTGGTCTCTTCAGAAAGGGACCCAGCCACCTCGACTACCCGATCAGCGAGGCATTCGAAGGACCAATCGACTCCACCCATCGTCACACCGATGTGGAAGGACTACCGTTGGCTTCTCACGTCCAGGTCTACCACCATGGCCGCTCGGATGTTGGAGAGCCATCGCATGTCGTCGTCGAAGAGAAATCGGAAGTCGCAGAGAAGCCGACACTGGCCGACAAGTTCACTGGTCTCTTCAGAAAGGGACCCAGCCACCTCGACTACCCGATCAGCGAGGCATTCGAAGGACCAATCGACTCCACCCATCGTCACACCGATGTGGAAGGACTACCGTTGGCTTCTCACGTCCAGGTCTACCACCATGGCCGCTCGGATGTTGGAGAGCCATCGCATGTCGTCGTCGAAGAGAAATCGGAAGTGCACGACAAGCCGACACTGGCCGACAAGTTCACTGGTCTCTTCAGAAAGGGACCCAGCCACCTCGACTACCCGATCAGCGAGGCATTCGAAGGACCAATCGACTCCACCCATCGTCACACCGATGTGGAAGGACTACCGTTGGCTTCTCACGTCCAGGTCTACCACCATGGCCGCTCGGATGTTGGAGAGCCATCGCATGTCGTCGTCGAAGAGAAATCGGAAGTCGCACGACAAGCCGACACTGGCCGACAAGTTCACTGGTCTCTTCAGAAAGGGACCCAGCCACCTCGACTACCCGATCAGCGAGGCATTCGAAGGACCAATCGACTCCACCCATCGTCACACCGATGTGGAAGGACTACCGTTGGCTTCTCACGTCCAGGTCTACCACCATGGCCGCTCGGATGTTGGAGAGCCATCGCATGTCGTCGTCGAAGAGAAATCGGAAGTGCACGACAAGCCGACACTGGCCGACAAGTTCACTGGTCTCTTCAGAAAGGGACCCAGCCACCTCGACTACCCGATCAGCGAGGCATTCGAAGGACCAATCGACTCCACCCATCGTCACACCGATGTGGAAGGACTACCGTTGGCTTCTCACGTCCAGGTCTACCACCATGGCCGCTCGGATGTTGGAGAGCCATCGCATGTCGTCGTCGAAGAGAAATCGGAAGTGCACGACAAGCCGACACTGGCCGACAAGTTCACTGGTCTCTTCAGAAAGGGACCCAGCCACCTCGACTACCCGATCAGCGAGGCATTCGAAGGACCAATCGACTCCACCCATCGTCACACCGATGTGGAAGGACTACCGTTGGCTTCTCACGTCCAGGTCTACCACCATGGCCGCTCGGATGTTGGAGAGCCATCGCATGTCGTCGTCGAAGAGAAATCGGAAGTGCACGACAAGCCGACACTGGCCGACAAGTTCACTGGTCTCTTCAGAAAGGGACCCAGCCACCTCGACTACCCGATCAGCGAGGCATTCGAAGGACCAATCGACTCCACCCATCGTCACACCGATGTGGAAGGACTACCGTTGGCTTCTCACGTCCAGGTCTACCACCATGGCCGCTCGGATGTTGGAGAGCCATCGCATGTCGTCGTCGAAGAGAAATCGGAAGTGCACGACAAGCCGACACTGGCCGACAAGTTCACTGGTCTCTTCAGAAAGGGACCCAGCCACCTCGACTACCCGATCAGCGAGGCATTCGAAGGACCAATCGACTCCACCCATCGTCACACCGATGTGGAAGGACTACCGTTGGCTTCTCACGTCCAGGTCTACCACCATGGCCGCTCGGATGTTGCAGAGCCATCGCATGTCGTCGTCGAAGAGAAATCGGAAGTGCACGACAAGCCGACACTGGCCGACAAGTTCACTGGTCTCTTCAGAAAGGGACCCAGCCACCTCGACTACCCGATCAGCGAGGCATTCGAAGGACCAATCGACTCCACCCATCGTCACACCGATGTGGAAGGACTACCGTTGGCTTCTCACGTCCAGGTCTACCACCATGGCCGCTCGGATGTTGGAGAGCCATCGCTTGTCGTCGTCGAAGAGAAATCGGAAGTGCACGACAAGCCGACACTGGCCGACAAGTTCACTGGTCTCTTCAGAAAGGGACCCAGCCACCTCGACTACCCGATCAGCGAGGCATTCGAAGGACCAATCGACTCCACCCATCGTCACACCGATGTGGAAGGACTACCGTTGGCTTCTCACGTCCAGGTCTACCACCATGGCCGCTCGGATGTTGGAGAGCCATCGCATGTCGTCGTCGAAGAGAAATCGGAAGTGCACGACAAGCCGACACTGGCCGACAAGTTCACTGGTCTCTTCAGAAAGGGACCCAGCCACCTCGACTACCCGATCAGCGAGGCATTCGAAGGACCAATCGACTCCACCCATCGTCACACCGATGTGGAAGGACTACCGTTGGCTTCTCACGTCCAGGTCTACCACCATGGCCGCTCGGATGTTGGAGAGCCATCGCATGTCGTCGTCGAAGAGAAATCGGAAGTGCACGACAAGCCGACACTGGCCGACAAGTTCACTGGTCTCTTCAGAAAGGGACCCAGCCACCTCGACTACCCGATCAGCGAGGCATTCGAAGGACCAATCGACTCCACCCATCGTCACACCGATGTGGAAGGACTACCGTTGGCTTCTCACGTCCAGGTCTACCACCATGGCCGCTCGGATGTTGGAGAGCCATCGCATGTCGTCGTCGAAGAGAAATCGGAAGTCGCACGACAAGCCGACACTGGCCGACAAGTTCACTGGTCTCTTCAGAAAGGGACCCAGCCACCTCGACTACCCGATCAGCGAGGCATTCGAAGGACCAATCGACTCCACCCATCGTCACACCGATGTGGAAGGACTACCGTTGGCTTCTCACGTCCAGGTCTACCACCATGGCCGCTCGGATGTTGGAGAGCCATCGCATGTCGTCGTCGAAGAGAAATCGGAAGTCGCACGAGAAGCCGACACTGGCCGACAAGTTCACTGGTCTCTTCAGAAAGGGACCCAGCCACCTCGACTACCCGATCAGCGAGGCATTCGAAGGACCAATCGACTCCACCCATCGTCACACCGATGTGGAAGGACTACCGTTGGCTTCTCACGTCCAGGTCTACCACCATGGCCGCTCGGATGTTGGAGAGCCATCGCATGTCGTCGTCGAAGAGAAATCGGAAGTGCACGACAAGCCGACACTGGCCGACAAGTTCACTGGTCTCTTCAGAAAGGGACCCAGCCACCTCGACTACCCGATCAGCGAGGCATTCGAAGGACCAATCGACTCCACCCATCGTCACACCGATGTGGAAGGACTACCGTTGGCTTCTCACGTCCAGGTCTACCACCATGGCCGCTCGGATGTTGGAGAGCCATCGCATGTCGTCGTCGAAGAGAAATCGGAAGTGCACGACAAGCCGACACTGGCCGACAAGTTCACTGGTCTCTTCAGAAAGGGACCCAGCCACCTCGACTACCCGATCAGCGAGGCATTCGAAGGACCAATCGACTCCACCCATCGTCACACCGATGTGGAAGGACTACCGTTGGCTTCTCACGTCCAGGTCTACCACCATGGCCGCTCGGATGTTGGAGAGCCATCGCATGTCGTCGTCGAAGAGAAATCGGAAGTGCACGACAAGCCGACACTGGCCGACAAGTTCACTGGTCTCTTCAGAAAGGGACCCAGCCACCTCGACTACCCGATCAGCGAGGCATTCGAAGGACCAATCGACTCCACCCATCGTCACACCGATGTGGAAGGACTACCGTTGGCTTCTCACGTCCAGGTCTACCACCATGGCCGCTCGGATGTTGGAGAGCCATCGCATGTCGTCGTCGAAGAGAAATCGGAAGTGCACGACAAGCCGACACTGGCCGACAAGTTCACTGGTCTCTTCAGAAAGGGACCCAGCCACCTCGACTACCCGATCAGCGAGGCATTCGAAGGACCAATCGACTCCACCCATCGTCACACCGATGTGGAAGGACTACCGTTGGCTTCTCACGTCCAGGTCTACCACCATGGCCGCTCGGATGTTGGAGAGCCATCGCATGTCGTCGTCGAAGAGAAATCGGAAGTGCACGACAAGCCGACACTGGCCGACAAGTTCACTGGTCTCTTCAGAAAGGGACCCAGCCACCTCGACTACCCGATCAGCGAGGCATTCGAAGGACCAATCGACTCCACCCATCGTCACACCGATGTGGAAGGACTACCGTTGGCTTCTCACGTCCAGGTCTACCACCATGGCCGCTCGGATGTTGGAGAGCCATCGCATGTCGTCGTCGAAGAGAAATCGGAAGTCGCACGACAAGCCGACACTGGCCGACAAGTTCACTGGTCTCTTCAGAAAGGGACCCAGCCACCTCGACTACCCGATCAGCGAGGCATTCGAAGGACCAATCGACTCCACCCATCGTCACACCGATGTGGAAGGACTACCGTTGGCTTCTCACGTCCAGGTCTACCACCATGGCCGCTCGGATGTTGGAGAGCCATCGCATGTCGTCGTCGAAGAGAAATCGGAAGTGCACGACAAGCCGACACTGGCCGACAAGTTCACTGGTCTCTTCAGAAAGGGACCCAGCCACCTCGACTACCCGATCAGCGAGGCATTCGAAGGACCAATCGACTCCACCCATCGTCACACCGATGTGGAAGGACTACCGTTGGCTTCTCACGTCCAGGTCTACCACCATGGCCGCTCGGATGTTGGAGAGCCATCGCATGTCGTCGTCGAAGAGAAATCGGAAGTGCACGACAAGCCGACACTGGCCGACAAGTTCACTGGTCTCTTCAGAAAGGGACCCAGCCACCTCGACTACCCGATCAGCGAGGCATTCGAAGGACCAATCGACTCCACCCATCGTCACACCGATGTGGAAGGACTACCGTTGGCTTCTCACGTCCAGGTCTACCACCATGGCCGCTCGGATGTTGGAGAGCCATCGCATGTCGTCGTCGAAGAGAAATCGGAAGTGCACGACAAGCCGACACTGGCCGACAAGTTCACTGGTCTCTTCAGAAAGGGACCCAGCCACCTCGACTACCCGATCAGCGAGGCATTCGAAGGACCAATCGACTCCACCCATCGTCACACCGATGTGGAAGGACTACCGTTGGCTTCTCACGTCCAGGTCTACCACCATGGCCGCTCGGATGTTGGAGAGCCATCGCATGTCGTCGTCGAAGAGAAATCGGAAGTCGCAGAGAAGCCGACGCTAGCCGACAAGTTCACTGGTCTCTTCAGAAAGGGACCCAGCCACCTCGACTACCCGATCAGCGAGGCATTCGAAGGACCAATCGACTCCACCCATCGTCACACCGATGTGGAAGGACTACCGTTGGCTTCTCACGTCCAGGTCTACCACCATGGCCGCTCGGATGTTGGAGAGCCATCGCATGTCGTCGTCGAAGAGAAATCGGAAGTGCACGACAAGCCGACACTGGCCGACAAGTTCACTGGTCTCTTCAGAAAGGGACCCAGCCACCTCGACTACCCGATCAGCGAGGCATTCGAAGGACCAATCGACTCCACCCATCGTCACACCGATGTGGAAGGACTACCGTTGGCTTCTCACGTCCAGGTCTACCACCATGGCCGCTCGGATGTTGGAGAGCCATCGCATGTCGTCGTCGAAGAGAAATCGGAAGTGCACGACAAGCCGACACTGGCCGACAAGTTCACTGGTCTCTTCAGAAAGGGACCCAGCCACCTCGACTACCCGATCAGCGAGGCATTCGAAGGACCAATCGACTCCACCCATCGTCACACCGATGTGGAAGGACTACCGTTGGCTTCTCACGTCCAGGTCTACCACCATGGCCGCTCGGATGTTGGAGAGCCATCGCATGTCGTCGTCGAAGAGAAATCGGAAGTGCACGACAAGCCGACACTGGCCGACAAGTTCACTGGTCTCTTCAGAAAGGGACCCAGCCACCTCGACTACCCGATCAGCGAGGCATTCGAAGGACCAATCGACTCCACCCATCGTCACACCGATGTGGAAGGACTACCGTTGGCTTCTCACGTCCAGGTCTACCACCATGGCCGCTCGGATGTTGGAGAGCCATCGCATGTCGTCGTCGAAGAGAAATCGGAAGTGCACGACAAGCCGACACTGGCCGACAAGTTCACTGGTCTCTTCAGAAAGGGACCCAGCCACCTCGACTACCCGATCAGCGAGGCATTCGAAGGACCAATCGACTCCACCCATCGTCACACCGATGTGGAAGGACTACCGTTGGCTTCTCACGTCCAGGTCTACCACCATGGCCGCTCGGATGTTGGAGAGCCATCGCATGTCGTCGTCGAAGAGAAATCGGAAGTGCACGACAAGCCGACACTGGCCGACAAGTTCACTGGTCTCTTCAGAAAGGGACCCAGCCACCTCGACTACCCGATCAGCGAGGCATTCGAAGGACCAATCGACTCCACCCATCGTCACACCGATGTGGAAGGACTACCGTTGGCTTCTCACGTCCAGGTCTACCACCATGGCCGCTCGGATGTTGGAGAGCCATCGCATGTCGTCGTCGAAGAGAAATCGGAAGTGCACGACAAGCCGACACTGGCCGACAAGTTCACTGGTCTCTTCAGAAAGGGACCCAGCCACCTCGACTACCCGATCGGCGAGGCATTCGAAGGACCAATCGACTCCACCCATCGTCACACCGATGTGGAAGGACTACCGTTGGCTTCTCACGTCCAGGTCTACCACCATGGCCGCTCGGATGTTGGAGAGCCATCGCATGTCGTCGTCGAAGAGAAATCGGAAGTCGCACGACAAGCCGACACTGGCCGACAAGTTCACTGGTCTCTTCAGAAAGGGACCCAGCCACCTCGACTACCCGATCAGCGAGGCATTCGAAGGACCAATCGACTCCACCCATCGTCACACCGATGTGGAAGGACTACCGTTGGCTTCTCACGTCCAGGTCTACCACCATGGCCGCTCGGATGTTGGAGAGCCATCGCTTGTCGTCGTCGAAGAGAAATCGGAAGTGCACGACAAGCCGACACTGGCCGACAAGTTCACTGGTCTCTTCAGAAAGGGACCCAGCCACCTCGACTACCCGATCAGCGAGGCTTTCGAAGGACCAATCGACTCCACCCATCGTCACACCGATGTGGAAGGACTACCGTTGGCTTCTCACGTCCAGGTCTACCACCATGGCCGCTCGGATGTTGGAGAGCCATCGCATGTCGTCGTCGAAGAGAAATCGGAAGTGCACGACAAGCCGACACTGGCCGACAAGTTCACTGGTCTCTTCAGAAAGGGACCCAGCCACCTCGACTACCCGATCAGCGAGGCATTCGAAGGACCAATCGACTCCACCCATCGTCACACCGATGTGGAAGGACTACCGTTGGCTTCTCACGTCCAGGTCTACCACCATGGCCGCTCGGATGTTGGAGAGCCATCGCATGTCGTCGTCGAAGAGAAATCGGAAGTCGCACGACAAGCCGACACTGGCCGACAAGTTCACTGGTCTCTTCAGAAAGGGACCCAGCCACCTCGACTACCCGATCAGCGAGGCATTCCGAAGGACCAATCGACTCCACCCATCGTCACACCGATGTGGAAGGACTACCGTTGGCTTCTCACGTCCAGGTCTACCACCATGGCCGCTCGGATGTTGGAGAGCCATCGCATGTCGTCGTCGAAGAGAAATCGGAAGTGCACGACAAGCCGACACTGGCCGACAAGTTCACTGGTCTCTTCAGAAAGGGACCCAGCCACCTCGACTACCCGATCAGCGAGGCATTCGAAGGACCAATCGACTCCACCCATCGTCACACCGATGTGGAAGGACTACCGTTGGCTTCTCACGTCCAGGTCTACCACCATGGCCGCTCGGATGTCCCAGAACCATCGCATGTCGTCGTCGAAGAGAAATCGGAAGTGCACGACAAGCCGACACTGGCCGACAAGTTCACTGGTCTCTTCAGAAAGGGACCCAGCCACCTCGACTACCCGATCAGCGAGGCATTCGAAGGACCAATCGACTCCACCCATCGTCACACCGATGTGGAAGGACTACCGTTGGCTTCTCACGTCCAGGTCTACCACCATGGCCGCTCGGATGTCGGAGAGCCATCGCATGTCGTCGTCGAAGAGAAATCGGAAGTCGCACGACAAGCCGACACTGGCCGACAAGTTCACTGGTCTCTTCAGAAAGGGACCCAGCCACCTCGACTACCCGATCAGCGAGGCATTCGAAGGACCAATCGACTCCACCCATCGTCACACCGATGTGGAAGGACTACCGTTGGCTTCTCACGTCCAGGTCTACCACCATGGCCGCTCGGATGTGCCAGAGCCATCGCATGTCGTCGTCGAAGAGAAATCGGAAGTGCACGACAAGCCGACACTGGCCGACAAGTTCACTGGTCTCTTCAGAAAGGGACCCAGCCACCTCGACTACCCGATCAGCGAGGCATTCGAAGGACCAATCGACTCCACCCATCGTCACACCGATGTGGAAGGACTACCGTTGGCTTCTCACGTCCAGGTCTACCACCATGGCCGCTCGGATGTCGGAGAGCCATCTATGGTTATTGATGCGAATACGGAAGCCGAGGAAAGGCTCCCGCACTTGGAGGAACCCACACTGAAGACTCCGTCAAAATCACACTCGGAAACTCAAAATGTAAAATCTGGCTCAACTGTCCTAGAGCATCACCATGCTTATCGGCCAACAGTGCAAGAAACTGAGTATGACTACGTGAGAGGCGCGGACGGGCAACTGTCTCGGATTGGAGAGAAGCACGAGGCTAGGCCTGGGGAAGTACTGAATCAGTTGAGCCACGGGACAACTGAATGGCTGGAACGGGAACCTGGCGCTCCGGAAGACAAGGAATCGGAGCTGTGGCGCCACTATTACAAGAAGCAGGAAGAACGCGATCGATATTTGCGCCAGATGTCATCACCAAGAAATGGAGACGAGATGCGGATACAGCGCAATCCCTTGGAATTGAATATCGAAACATTAGCTTCAGGCGGTCAATCGGCGCCCTCGCCCCTCGGGTTCTCTGTGGCGTTGCGGGCGCATAGCCCCGACGTGAGCCGAGGGCGGGTTGAGGAGAGGATGACGCGGGCCTCGGAGACGGATCTACGCGGAAGGCGTAGAGAACGACGGCTGAGTCCACACCACTGGACGACGGTACATGAGAGGACCACGATCTCCTACATCAAGCGGATGCATCTGGAGAGACTGCAGGACCGCACGCATTCAAGAAGTGAGCCTCCGATCTCCAAATGGCAGACGAGGCAATCCCGGACGCTGGATTACACGACACGGCCGAGAGAACGGTCACGTGAAGAAGATTGGAGGAGTCTGGTGAGTTCTTAAGAGTCATTACAAAGGGGAAGGGATAAAAGTAAGCATGATATTAACTTTGCTTTTCAGGTGCACCACCCCATTCTCCCTCCGCGAAACTACTCAATGGAGGAGAAGTCGAGGGCCAGAATCCAAGATTACCAAGGATCCACGAAGGCCACCCGCCGGGCCACTCAAGAATATCCGGCTCGGCAGACGACCTACATCGGCGCGGCAACGGCTCGACCATCCTACTACACCCACACGGAGCACCGGGTGTACAAGGTACCTCACGGTACGGTCAAGGAAATTGCCGCCATCGATCGAACGGAACTATACGAACGGCGAGACACGGTTAGTTCATCAGCTGCTTCTAACCAGCGTTGACTGCTTGGTATCACGGGTTTGATCAAAATTAACTGTTTTTACAGCATCACCATACGACCAACAGTGCCCGTTCGTCGAACATGCAAACGCTGCGTCAGCAGAAAGTTGTAGCAAAGCTGCGACACGACGATCAGCGAAATACCGACTATTTGGTTTATCAGGTGCGTAGAGTTCGGAAATCGTCATCAAAAATTCTTGCCATTTCAGCGAAGTGGCTTGAACGAACGCCCGATTGAGCAACGGATCAACGAGCTGCCGCCGATCGAGTTCGACGCGTACTCTTGTAGAGGCTCGCACTCGCGTGTCCCTCCTGGAGACTACCAGGTTTGTCGACAACTAGTTGTGCTCATTGAAACAGGCTATATTTCGAAGTTCTACTGTTTGTATTAGAGAATAATCAAGACAATACTACTAAAATCTCAAACCCCGATATTTTAGGAGCTGGACCCACAACTAATGAGCGAAGAAGAGCTGATTCGACGTCGACGTCCCATCAAACGGGCCCGACAACGAATGCGCAATATTTGTACGATGCTCTAGACGTTAGAATTTACGATTTTCAAGGGCTGAATAGGCAATGTTCCCTTGTTAACCCACCCCCCCTTCGAGTAGTGACAGTTGTGATTAGAGCTTCTATTTCCCATTTATTTTGCATTTTTCGAACGCCTCGACCAGCGGCCCATTTTCCGCCTAAAAACTACCGGTTGACGAGCATTTCCTCGTCAGCGCTTATCCATGCTTGCATTTCGGAAACGGGGCCCCGTCGAGATTTACTACCTGTACTTTCTTTCTTGTCTTGTTATCCCTGTGCACGCTCAGAGAAGCATTTATTGTTTTCAAAAAACAAATAAATTTATTGAACTTTCTGTCGCAGGGAAGGAGGGAAATCATCACCGGACCCGGGAGGACAGGTGCAAGATTTAGGATTTTTAGCCGCGCCTGTCGAAAGTTGTTGGGCAAAGCGTTAAATTTTTGCGCACGAAACCAGCGAGAAAATGGGATGTGGAGGGGCGCGGGTGGGGCGCATGCGGCCTGTCAAAACGTCAGTTCGGCATACACACGCGAATCCGCATGCATCGCCCACAGAAACCGACGTTTTCTTTCTATCCGCATCGTGCGATACCGGAGGTCATTTTTTGCTGCTGGCATATATTAATTTTGAAGTCTACATAAAATAGAAGAAAAAAGCTTTGGAAAAAGGGAAGTCGGAAACGGTACCTCCCTTGTTGAGCTCACTTTCGCCTGAGTTTTGCCTTCAAAGCCGCTTTATTTGATACACTAGTGTTCATAATTATAAAGGCAGTCGCATTTTTTGAAAAATCTCAATTTCTAGCGGGTTTTAGGAAAAGCTTTCTTTTGCAGAAAAAAACCCAATTACATCTCAAATTCCAATATCAAATCCATTTTTAGATTCTAGGGCGAGCCATTTCTCTGTGAGGCTTTTTGTCGAAAATGGCGTATGGAAAACGTTCATAATTTTAAAGGCACTTTACGTAAAAAATTCTTAAAATTCGGAAATCGATATCAGGTTGTTAGAAACCCTTTCAATAACCCTTGGCAGTAATATTTCACTTAAACAGATGAAAGAGACGTCTGTCCAAACACTGATCAAGGATTGCGAGCAATTTTTTTCCGTGAACCAAGGAAAGACGCTAAAAAACGCCAGTTCCGGCTCGCCAAGCCTTAATCCCCCCGTAGAACTTGTTTATCATGAAGTGCCAGATATTCTCATTGACGTTTAAGCTCGGGGAAATAGGCTGACCAAATCAAAAATCAATTTCAAGGGGTCGGCACCAATCCCGGAGCTTGTCTGGTTCGAGAAATCGAGCCTTTCTTTGGCCGACAAACACCTTTTTAGCCCGGATTTAGCCGAGAAACGGCCGCACGACTCGGCGCGGTACGTGACGCGCCAGCGCGGCCCGTTTCTTGGCCAAAATCGCGTCGAATCCGCTTGCAAAGCCGTCTTTGACTGATGTAGCCGAGTTCAGAAAGATGTGATGTTCTAAGGGCTGACCGGATCCAGTTTACCGGCCGCAAGAAGCCTTCCGGTGCTGATCCGGATAGATCTCCCTATTACTGGCCCAACATAACCCCCGTTCTCATAAAAGAAAAACAGATGGGACAGAGTTACGGTGGGGGTAGCCATTATCGATCAAAGACGTTTAACCCGTTTATCGTTCCGACTCAAATGTTTCGAGACGACAATCGATACTTGCGGCACCGAGTCGTGCCGCCGTTTCCCGGCTAAATCCGGGCTAAAAAGGTGTTTGTCGGCCAAAGAAAGGCTCGATTTCTCGAACCAGACAAGCTCCGGGGTTGGTGCCGACCCCTTGAAATTGATTTTTGATTTGGTCAGCCTATTTCCCCGAGCTTAAACGTCAATGAGAATATCTGGCACTTCATGATAAACAAGTTCTACGGGGGGATTAAGGCTTGGCGAGCCGGAACTGGCGTTTTTTAGCGTCTTTCCTTGGTTCACGGAAAAAAATTGCTCGCAATCCTTGATCAGTGTTTGGACAGACGTCTCTTTCATCTGTTTAAGTGAAATATTACTGCCAAGGGTTATTGAAAGGGTTTCTAACAACCTGATATCGATTTCCGAATTTTAAGAATTTTTTACGTAAAGTGCCTTTAAAATTATGAACGTTTTCCATACGCCATTTTCGACAAAAAGCCTCACAGAGAAATGGCTCGCCCTAGAATCTAAAAATGGATTTGATATTTGAATTTGAGATGTAATTGGGGTTTTTTCTGCAAAAGAAAGCTTTTCCTGAAACCCGCTAGAAATTGAGATTTTTCAAAAAATTCGACTGCCTTTATAATTATGAACACTAGTGTAGTTGAACGCGGGCAAGCTCGCTGCGAAGTTTTTCAGAGGAAACGGCCACCCTCGATCTTGTCTTGCGTACGCAACTTCCAGACCTATTTGTCTTGTCGTAATTAAAATTAAATTACCATTGGTCTACAACTTCTGGGCGAATCGTTTCTCGTAGATGTTCCAGCATGTTTTTTCCACCCCCAGCCGAAGTTTTGGCTTTAACTTTTTATTTTACATTATTGTAGGCTCAAATTAAACCCCGTATATTTTTCGACGCTCTATCGAATGGCGTTGCAACGACAAAATAAGCGAAACCCACTTGGCCCTTCGGGGGGGAACCGTTTTGCTTTTGCCCCGGAAACTAGTAATGCCGCTCATTTTTGGGGTTTCTTGAGCGGCAAACATTCGCACCGTACAAATTTGTACGATACAGCCTTCATTTACAAATTTTCAGCACCCCATTTTTACATTTGACCACCATTACGGATGTAATCCCTTTAGGACCACTGAGCGTTGCACGCCCTTCCATCGTGCCCCCGCAATTTTCGGAATACCCGCCGCGATCACCATAAATTAGGGGTAATCCAGGGTCAGGATTTTCCATGATTTCGTCCAAGCGGACACCTGTGCCTCGTTTGGAGGTCGGTGTTGTGCTGTCCGGGTCGACCTTGATGAGCCGCGGATCGGTTGGGTGCCCCGGAATTATTCAAATCACTTCCTCTGCGCATCTCCGTTTCCGACGCACGACAACAATTGACGGTTGGCGGGTTTCCAAAGTTTCTATTATAAATTGCTCCTTTTGAAACGAATCTCTTGTCCCCCAGAGCCACGATCCGGCTTGTTCCTATCACCCGCAATTTATCGTTAGATCGTTTTTCAACTTTTCTCTATGTATACCTGCGTTCAGAATCCAAAAAAACTACCAAACTTTCCGTAAAGTTCCGATAGGGCAGTAGTTCCGTTTCTCATGAAAGTTGAAGGCACCGTTTGTGCCCGCCCCTTACGAGCTCCGCCCCTCTTTTGGCTAGCCGCCGCAAAGCACTCCCCTTCCCCCTATCTTTGCCCACTAAAAGGGCTCGTGTTTGGCTTTCTTTTTTTCTCCTTCTCTTTTTGGACTCCATTTTATGGGTTGTCTTTGAATTGAAAAAGCATTGAAGGCCCGGGAACGGTTTGCTTTGCCTACACAACAGTTCTTTCGGGGGAGACCGGCCGAGAAAATGGCCCTTGTTGTGCGCGGAAAATAACATATTTCATGTATTCTCCTTTTCTAGATTTCTGCAGGAATCCTTTTAAATTCTGTATTTTGTATTATTACTTCCTCATTAAAGGGCCACAAGACCGTGCGTTGAACCTACGGGTCAAAAAAAACGGTCACTGCCGGAAGTGCCAAGAACCGTCTGGAACATTTGGGCGCGGATTACATCGTAATGCCTTGTAATGCACCCAACCTCGTGTGATGATTCTCTTGATTTTCATAATTTAAAGGCTCGATGATCAAAATTCGTTGAAGATTCAAAAATAGTATCAGAATTTTAAATTCAATCGTTTTCGCGTCCAAACAGAGGCAAAAAATCATGCGGCGCGGTCGCATCTGGCAATTTGCCAGAAACAGGGGGCCGGGACCAGATTTCGGGCCCCTTTAAATTGTTGCTTTTGTCGACTTTTGTTAGTTGCATCGTCTATTTTTGTTTGTTTTTTTCCTAGTGATTCTCCGCCAGTCTTCCCTGGCTTTCTTTTTTCGAGAAGACGCTATTTTATTTTTGCTTCTAGCTTTCTGCTGATCAAAATATCTCTGATATATTTTTGACTTTCTTGCCCGCTTGACAGCCCTTTTTCCCAAACGATCTCTGCTAGCCTTCCCGATAGCCCAATCACTCCCTTGTTCCGTCCCACACCTCGATACGATTGTCCCAAATTGCCCGTGCTATCCGGATAAATGGCCCCCGGCTGCAGAGCCATGCCAAAAAGTGTTGGGAAAGAGGGATGGGCCTGGGGCCCCTGATGTTTCACAGCGTAATGGTCAGCTGTGGCCCACAACCAGGGGTTTTGACTCGGATTTCCGCCCAATCCCCTGGCAGGTAAGCAAGGGCGAAGTGACAGCCGGACGGGCATAACATTTTGATCTGTGGCGCGCGTCGACTGAGGCGCGAGGAGGGTTAAAGGGGTCGGGAATGAGCAGGCCAGGCGAGCATAGATTCTTTGGGGTCTCCCAACCGGTGGGATTCTTGTCTAGCATGACAAAATACTTTTGCTCCGAGATAACACCACTTGGATGCGCCTATATAACGAAGCGGTCGGTGCTGATAAGCCATTCAACGCTTTCTTTTAGGATTTTTACGGGTTTTTCCAAAGTCTTTTCAAGGTTAATCCGGCTATAAAGGGTAAAGAAACGGAATTAAAAGTTCTACCCCCACAGTTTAGGCAAAATAGGTATCTACAATTGTTTCCCTACCCAACGCTTGAACCGTGCTTTTCCATCCCACTCATCCAGGCAAATCCGAGATATTCCCAGCGCGTGCGCCCGGCTCTTCCCCGTTCTTTCACGGCTTATGGCGCCCCATTCGATTAGCCACTTCTGGCTCCCTGAAGGGATCTGTAAGAGCACCTTTTAGGCAACCACGAATGCATACACAGAGAAAACACTCGCCCTCCAGCCCTACACTCGGCAGCAAAAACGAGCCGCCGATTAGCCACTGGCTCACCGCCAGCCAGACTTTCCATCCGGAAACCCGATGGAATATTGCAAAATTGTCTCGTCTTTTTGCCTTTTCCCCCATCATCATTAGCATGGCATTTTGTCAGGGTCAATGTGTAGCTTATCACCTTTGAGGAAAAATCCGAGGGTTTTTCAGGGGAGTGTCTCTAAAATGCTGCCATGTCATATCATGAAATTCTAAAAAATGCTGTTTTTGGCGATGGCACCTGACCCGAAATTGGTATGTTTCGGACGACTGGCCGCGCGTGTCGCGGCCGTCCCGATAATTGGGATAAATCCCCAGCGCTGGACCCCCGGCCCGGCCCTAATCCACGGCATAAATGCCAAACATTGCCCACCAAAAATTGGGTCCAACCTTTGCCTAGAGCCTCGCTAACCCGCCATTAATTCCGCGACAACTTTCTTGATAAACGGCTTCCGGTCCTGCCCCTAGCTGGCTGATAAGCCCCTCTTGCGTCGTGTTTTCTCGCTTTTTGACCGTTCTGCTCAACGCTGGAGCTTTGTAGAGCTTTTTCTCTAATTTTTTTACCCTTGTCGCCATCGGCCTTAAAATAAGGCCTTTATAATGAATTTTTAGGTAATCCACATGCTAAAATATCAAGTCCGCTCGACGAGTCGCCCCGACTTACGCTCGACAGGTTAAAAATTAATTTTTATACCTTTAACTATGTTTTTCAGGCAGCACCTCGTCGGGAATTTCACTGGCCAGCCGATCCCCTTCCGTTTCCTCACTTTCTTCCCTCGAAAGCACCGACGGTGAAGCCGTGAGTTTTTTTAATGCAACCCGATAGAACCCTGTCAATTAATCAGCGCCCTGCGAAACCAAACAATGTGGCTAATCCAGTTTATAGCCCGCGGCCGAGGCCTGAAAAAGCGCGGATTGTGAATGGGAGAACGGCCGGAATTTAGGGCGGATTTCCCGCTTTTGGGTGCTGTCCTCCTTTTTCGGCTCACCTTGGCGGTCAGCCGATAATTGCCCCTTCTCGAACCTGATCCTCGCAATTCCTGGAGAAAACTTCTGGAAATTTGGGAAGGTGTGGTAGTGGGAAACTTTAAGAAAACAATGCTAGCGCATTAAAAATATGAATTATTAGTCTTTAAGCCTTTAGCCTCTAGCTGACTAAACAGATATCCCATTCCCAATTTCATGCTTTTTAAATCTATCAATCACCCCACGTTTTTTTTCCATTATGTTTTTATCTTTTCGCAGCGCCCCGGCTGACACATCATTACTCAGCATAAGGGAAAACATGGCTTGACAAATATATCGAACAGATTTCCCTTATTAAACATTCCATGGAACCCCCATTCCGGAGCTCACATTTCGGGAACCCAAAACTTTTTCGACTTGCGGCCAACGAGGTTCTTCTTCTTTTGATCCTTTTCTCGAGATCCGTGCTAGCCTGCCCTCATCCACAATGACTTTTCCATTCCGGCGCGAACGCTTTGAGGACCCTTGACAGTATGAAATAAGAGTTTTTCTTTCCCCGGCGGCACACCCAGCGTTTCTCCTGGGATACTGCTTTAATCAAAAAAGGAATGTAGGAGATTCGTATTTTCTGTTTGTTTGCCCCACGGGGTGGAGGAATTGATAGGAGTTTTTGGGGAGCAGAATCTTGTCAAGATCTATGAACAAGAAGATTCTTGAAAGATCTTCCTGATTTTTTAGACTTTTGAATACTCCTACACTTTGCAAACCTTTCGTGTCTTAAAGGGTAGTGTCCTCTACTTTCCTATACCCACAAATCCAGGATAACGGGGCTGGTCGTACATGAAAAAAGGGTGGCGATCGGTGGTGTGGTAACGGGTTCCGGATAGGTAGGGTGAATGCCCGTGAATGAATGGGGGATCAGAGTCCGTAGCGCGAGATAAATACAGACCACACAGCCAGGCCATCCCTATGCAAATCTGCACGGCTCGATCCGGGTACGCGTCTATTCAGCGCGCCCGCACGCCAAAATCCCCGCCGCACTCGAAATCCGGCAGTAACGGGCCGCCGGCTTGGGAACGGGATGTCTAGTGACCTTGTGAAAACCTTATTTTGAAAATTCTGAAAATGGGTGGGAGTTCTTTATGAACATTTTTTCACAAGCACTAGAAGTATGAAAAAAGCAAAATTTTCGATGGCTTTGGGTATTTTTCAACATTTTGTAGTATCAAAGCCTTAGCTGACCTTGATTTCCCGAAAACCAACACGGTATTCGGGTTCACGTGTCCCCAGCATCCTTTTCCGAATTGTGGCCATAATCCGTAGGTAACCCCCATGTCTGTATGTCGTTCTGATCACTCCCCTTCCCGGCGACCATCAATTCGGAGCCAAATAAATCTGAACAACTAAGGGTCAGTGAAGCAGACCTCGCGAAATGGACGCAAGAAATTATGGGGGGGGGATCATTTGATCATAATCATCTGGAATCGAGAAAACCACTACATACTCGCAATTATTACGCAAAATGATGATGTAAAGTAAGCGATTGGGGCTATCAATCATCATTCTAATCGCCATCACAAGGACGAGAAGGTAGTCGGGGGATGATTATCTATTGGAACAGGCCCATAGTAGCTTATATACAGATCAAGGGGTATTGACGTAGCAACAAGAAAGCGGGCGGCCGAATCAGCCAAACGATCCAAATACATCCACATATTCAGGGAGTTCTCAAAATCTACACGCTAAATGTTGCGGCGTTCTCCGACTACAAAGCCCTCCGTGTGCACACGTCGACTACGGTGGCTGAGGTGATAGACACACTTGTCAATAAGTTTAAGGTAAATTAATAGGATTTTAGCAAACGGATAAAGTTGCCGTGGAAAAAGCTAGTTAATATGTTTTTAGTTATCAGCGAAAGACCCGAACCTCTTCGAGATGTTTATGGAGGTGACGACACGCCATGAAGGGCGCCCAATCCGTAGCCTGCTACTCCTCCACCCCGACTGTCGACCCCTCGAGATGTACAGGTTGTGCAATTCGAGAAGAAGCCATCATTAACGGCTTATTCCAGATGCCATCCACCAGATATGTCGCGATTTATTGTTCATCTACGGTCTGGCGGCACGCTCGTCCGAGTGCATGATCACCATCTGGAGCCCCAGGTAGGAGGAACATACCCGCAGAACCTTGGGCACAAAACAAAAGGATTCAATTCCGCGATCCCCAACCCCCACATCTGTTTCTTATAACATCAACCTGGGGGCCCAATGCATTGCGGTTTGAGATCGGTCTCGAGTTTATAACACAAAAGGAGAAGTCTGGGACATTGTTTATGCCCCGGCTACTGACCACAGCCAACCGGTACGACTTGGCTGGAGGGTACTCAAGGGCTTATGTCAGAGGGTCCTTAGCGGGCGGCGAACCCGGGCACCCTTACCAGCCCCCTAACTGTTTAGCCACTTCTCCACCGCGCTTATGGCACTTGAAACGTCGTTTTAAAATAAGTAGAAAAATCGATGACCCGACTGGCACTGGACTGTTAGCGGGGGCTCACTTGGGCCGAGCGCCCCGCCGCTCTCAAAGTTGAAATATAGCTTTTCGGCCGTTTTTAAGCATGGAAAATCGGTTCAATATAGCTATCAAAGTTTTCGAAGAATTTTCAGTTTTGCTCACAAATGTCAAGCTTTTGAGGTTTCTGAAAAAGAAGTTCGACTTTTTAGTTAAAACTAATTAAAATGCTAGAAAATGCTTCACCCCCACTAACAGTCCAGTACCGCCCGACCCGAAAAACTAACAAACGCCCCGGCCGGGACTAATTTACGACGAGCCGCCAAATAGACAGCAATAAATCTCGGGTGCTAGTCCGGGGCGGTCATCTGGTGTTCGTTACCGGGCCGTTCGCCCCCTGTTACTAACAACCCATTAGGGCCTGGAACACCCGGTTGTAATCGCCCTCCAGCAAGAGATGGCCGCTTTTTTTTGGAATTAGAAGCGAGATGGGCTGCAGGGCGCTTTTGATAAGCTAGAACATACAAAATTATGAGTTTTGCCAGAAAAAAAGCATCGGGGCCAAAGTTCCTGAAAATCAAGCAAGCGTAATTTAGAGCAACTACAAGTCGTTGATGTTGGCAGGGGAGACGACGGCGGAGACTGCCACGCGATTGGTGATGGCAATGAATCGGAGGGATCCGCTTGACGGCTCTTGGGCACTGTTTGTTGAGGTTTGTTTTACCTTTTCAAACGTAATTTCCAAATTCCAAAAATTGGTATTTAAACAATCTTAAAAATTAATATCTAAATTCATCAAAAATATCTTTTTAGGGCAACGACGGTGAATCAGCTCAAATCCCCAGCGACGCCCCACTGGTACCAATATCGAAAATGCTAGGCGATAAGCACAGAATATTAATCAAAAAGTTACCAAAATCCTAAAAATTAAACATGTACAGCCCACCTATCCACCAACCCCGAAAACTAGTCCAAATAACCTCTCCAAACCCTTTATCTTGCCGGTGCTCTGTGAAAACGACATTTCTCTACACAAATTCATATTGATATCCCCTTTCCCCTCACCACCCCGCAGCCTTTCAGCTCACGACCAAACAATAATAATGTGATCATCCTCCCGAATCCGAACCCGCGAAATTCCGATGCATAATAAAAACTTTATTCTTCGCAAGCAATTGGCCCTCTATACATATCACACTCCAAGGTAACACACAGGTTTAATTTACGACTTTAGTAATGTGTACGGAACTACAGGAATTGCTTTAAAAACACAAAACCAAAATAAAAGTGCTAAAATTCACAGATTATTTAGTGTTGCTGAGGACGGTGGGGAGACGGGTGAAGAATTTCTAAAAAATTGAATCGTAAAATATTTCAAATTCGATACCGAATAAAGCGCAATTCCTTGGAGGATCGACGAGGTGCCGGCAATTTCACGGATCGAGTGCATGGCAAGCTGAGGGCATCCCATATCTAAGCAGACAAATTAGAAATCTCTATAGGGATAGCTACCAATCGTGGCCAATCCCAGATTTGACGACATCATAGGGCCGATGGTTGAGCCGCAAGGACAGTCGTTACGCACGATGAACTCCTGAATACAGTTAGATTAAAACTAGGGTTGGAACTTACTTGAAGCGTAACTCCAGCCTCTTCGGCAATTTTTTTCACGACGGCCATGGTGGTTGCGGTGGTGGCATAACGCTGGTTCACATTCACCTTGATCGTTGGGCCGCCATGGAAACGAATTTTGTGATTTTCCTAAAAACTTTGCATTAATTGATTATCCTGCCCTCAGACCTCAGACTTTTCCCGGTAGTTCGGATGCGAGGCATGGGCTTGATCGACCGAAATGAGGAGACCTAGAAAAATCCCTGTATTTTTCTTCGAACATCGGTACTTTTCGGGATAGCCTCTTCGAATGCCAGCGGATTCTGTGGGTCGTGAGCCAACTTTCGCAGCACCCATTGAATGTACATCGAGTCGGCGCCCTGTGCGGACTGCGAACCGACCTGGAAAAACAAAAATGATCATAAATTTATCTAATACCTCTTCATTGTCAAAACAAGCCGAAAGACGAATGTTCGTGTCGGTGGCCAGGGCACCGTCCGATAGTGAAGCGATCAGCGCAGAGATACTCGTGTACATACCCACCTAAAAATAAACTAATCGGTTCTTTAGGATTCCCGGGGAAAGTATTCCCCGGGGAAACCAATTTTTCCTGGTCCCGGTTGGCCTAGTAATCAAATATAAGTGTTTTCGAATTGTTTTTAGTAAGTTTTAACTATATTTAGAGCGGAATAACTTTCAGAAAAATTTAGAAAAATGTTTGAAAAGTCGAAATTTGCATTTTGGGTCTATTTTTGGACCTAATTTTTAATTTTTTTTTGTTTAAACAAAAAAAAAAAAACCCCCCAATAACAAAAACGCCCCAAAAATCCCGGGAATTCCCCCGGAATAACAGAACCAACTAATCAAATGAAAAAGCTTTACCTGGTTGTCCAGACGACCTCCACTGATAAACTCCTGCTCGATCCCGGTGATGCGCGGATCCTGAGAGTCGTACAGGTATAAATCCATCGTCAAAATGTCTTCTTCCTTGACGCCGGCGGATTTGGCCACGGCGGCCAGAAGTTGGGGATGATGGTTGCCACACGCCATCTAAGATTTTTATGAGGTTTCTAAAGATTTCTTATACCTTCTTTTGGTCCTCGGATTTGTTAGGCCCGGCGGCGGTCAGCAAAATCGGGCGCAAATGGTTTTCGTTGTTCCATTCGAACTTGCTCGACTTGTCGTCCTGCAGGTGAATGGCCAAAGAGGGAATCGACATCACCGGCCCCCGAACGTCAACGAGCTTATGCTCGAGTCCGTCACCCTATATCCACGAATTTCGCCGAGTGAATTGTAGAAATACCGATCTGACAACAATCATTCCAGCCACCGACAGATCACGGTCGAACCAAGTACGCCAGAGCCCGCCGCCATAAGTGGTGCACCCAACCTGGAAACTTTCAAAATTCAATTCAAAAATAAAAAGACCTGAAGACAACCCTCGGCCTCGAATTTCGATGAGGGCTTCACGCGCAGGCAGGGACTGTCACTGTGTGCGGCGACAATGCTAAAAATGCATTAATATACGGATCAAAAGCAGCTACCTAAAGCCATTTCCCGGCTTGTATGCTCCACCGACGGCAAACGCGAAGATGGTTGTATTGTTCCTAAACGGATAATTTCCGATGAATAGAAATTCTTACTTGGTAGAGTAGTATTTTCCGCCTGGGGTCAGTTTCCAGGGGTTTTCCAGCTTCAGCTCTTCGAACCCGGAAGCACGGAGGAGATCGGCACATTCAGCAACGGCTGAAAAAAATAGATTCAATACTGTTTTTACTACTAATTCCCGCAATTTATCTACACGTGTGTATTTGCCATTCATTTTCAAGCCCCTTTAAAAATACCATGGAATGGGGTGACCGCTTTGGTGAGGTAGGAGACGAACTCTTTGGCGGTTTGAAGTACTTCAGAGGGGCCGGGCCGGGTGGAAGAGCCTAAAGAGGTGTACTAACTCAAAAACTATCCAAACCATTGAGTTTCCCGCTTCCGATAGCCTCCATGTTCTTCAAGTATTCGGCGACCGGGACGCTCATCGTGCAGCGGCGGGCGAGAAAGCGGAGTAGCGGTGTGCGCAACAGCTAAAATGAGGCGAGTCCTTCGAAGGTTGTCCCCCACACGTGGTAGAGATAAGCCCCCCCCCTCCGAAAAAAAGAGAGATACCGGCCCGAGTTCGGGTGAGGTGATTACTTGGGTCCTTTAGGTCCAAAGGTTGAGAATAGGATTCGATTACGATCTGTAATTTACGGGGAGAAACCGTGCAAAGTACAGTGTCGTAGCTGACCGAGATAGGTTTCGTAAACCAATCCTCCGTGAAAAAAATTAAACTTCAAAGCACGAACTCGCTTCCAAAAACGTATAAATTTTGTAATCTTTGTTAGATGTTTTGTAGAGGTACACAAATCCGCTTAGTAATCATTAATAACCTATAGAAATTTCATAATTCTTCCCGTTAGAGACACCTTTAATAGTCCGAACTTTAGACCAGCATGTTTCCTACCAGCCGCAAGGCCCGAATACAATGCCCGATACCAGATTGCGCGAGACCTGAATGCTCCTTCCATCACGCAAATGGCCGGCCATTTCTAGGTATCAAATTTTCCTATGCTTGCCAAGGACAGTTGAGATCGTGCTTTTCACGACCCGCGGGAAACTAGCTGGCTCTTGCCGAATTCGATTCTCAGTAATTGCATCAATGCCCTGGACGATCAAACCGACAGGTCAGTTGTGTGTGTTTTTTTGTTATAAGCATGTTTTAGGAATGTCGTTGCCAGCACCCCACCGCCTAATGAAGTCCCAGAAATGTATCGGTTGCCTTCGAGTGGGTCTAACCTTACTAACCATAAACTCCTCTATGATTTTTGATATGAACTAACAACAAACTTTGAACTCACTGCAGCCTAATTATTCGTTTTCGTTTTACCGCATTTTCCCTTCGATATTTCTGGCTGCGCCTCTTCTGACTTCACTTTATAAAAGTTTTATAGGCCCCGGCCGTACTCGATTCACTTTTTCTCCCGAACCGCTATCCGACCCGGACCCATTCGACGCCATCGCGCCCGTTTCCCATCCTCATCAAGAACAGAAGGTCACGAGCAGCTCGTGAGTTTCTTTTCAAAATATATTTACTTGGGGGTTTTTTTCAGAGACATGGGGAATCCGGGTGCTGCTGCCTTTCGAGTAGTAAAGGAAGAAAAGACTGATGATCCGGAATTACAAGTGGTGGCCCAATACACCCCAGAGGTTAAACATTTTTCTTTGTGCATTGCCGTTCCAGAACCCGGCGCCTGATGCCGTAAATCGCAAACTTGACCTCGAGTTAGCGAAAACTCGAAAGACCATAGAAGCATTGCAAGAAAGCGTGCGAAAAGCCGAGGAGTTGGCTTTGTTGAAGAGGTGCGAATTGTTCTGTGATCGAGACATTTAGCTTTTCAGGCAAAAAGAAGAGCTGGAAGCACAAGTAAAAGCGCTGACGGCTTTTCAGGATCGCTCCTCGCCACAACCACATCTCCCGTTGGTCAAGGAGGAGCCGGTGGGGTTTTCATAGTTTCTTTACTTATTTTTAGGATGTTGAGCCTCCGCGTCGAAAGCTGAAGCCAGCGCTGCCGGAAGAGGATGAAGAAATGCCAATGCGCCCGTCACCGGAGCCGTTGCCGCCGACCTCGAGCTCCACCTCCAGAGAAAGAAATTATCTTCCTAAGAATGCCTATGTGCCCACACCGTTGGTCGAGTTGGCCAGGAAAAAGAAGGTTTAATCGAAATAATTTGTACAATATAGATATTCAGTTAGCCCAAGAACCCCCAATTGTTATCAAGCGGAAAGACCCTGTCGAGCCCTCTAAGGTGTGTGATTTTTCCTAGCTATCAGCTAAATTTAGAAGCGCGTTTTGCCGCCTCCGCCACCTTTGGGACATCGAGAAACTGCTAGGACGCTAGCCCTCAAGGCCACGAGGATCAGCCCAGATACTCCGCGCGCGAAAAAGTCGCTGCTCGATGACGTTTTTGATGATGTGGGAATTACTCTTTAGCTCATTACTTCAAATCAGGCCGATGATGCACCATCGCCCAGTCCGTCATCACTGCTAACGAGCAGGAAAGAGCCTCTCAATCCGCCGGCTCTCAAGAAACCTCGGAACGTCGCCCTACAGCCAGCAGAGCGCTTGCAGGCCGCATACAATAAAGCATCCACTTCCGGGACCGCCAAGAGGCCGGAGGCTACCTCGTCGAAAAGCCTTGAGAAAGGAGAAACACGAAAAGCACATTTTGGGGTAATTTTTTTGTTCGTTGTTTTCGTCATATTTGATATGGTTTTTCAAGTAGCTTGTGCAATCTACTACTTTTTAGTCGTCCAATGCCGCAACTCATCCCCGATTGCGAGAGCCGACATTTGCCCGTGTTCCGCTGAGCGTGCGCAATGAATATCTGGGCCTCCTTTACAAAGAGTACAACAAAAACCGTCCTGAAGCGGAAGCCAAGGAATTGGTAATTGAAATCACGTTTTTTGGAAATTCCTTTAGGCGGAGACTGAAGAATTGCGCTTGGCAAAGGAATCGAAGACCAAGGAGCTCTACAGGCGTCAGGTACGGCTACCATACTTTCCATATTCGCTTTCAGGCCGTCAATCTAATCGGGTCGTTGCGGAAGGTAGCAAAAGCTCAACCGGTGGCTGGCATGAGTAAGTAGTCGGTATTTTAGTTTACCATTTAATAGCCATCTCCCATGCTGCGAACATCGCGCCCACAAATGCGACGGTCGGGGTGAAAGCGGCTGAGCGGGCCCAGCGCAAAGCCGACCTCGAGCACGTCGATGCCACCAATCTTCGAAAGCGTTTGAAGGTGTGTGGCGTTGGTCTTTTCCTCACAACTTTTTTAGCCCTATCTTCTTACCCAAGAACAACTGGAGAAGAATTGCTATCCGGTGTGGGTGGATTCATCCAAGACTGTGGTCGGGTTTTCCAGATCAAGCTTATATTTCCTTTAGGCTAAAATTGCCGACAGTCATTGGGATGCGGCGCCCGGTCGGGAAGGACGCGACAAGAGATTCTTGCCTGACGCTGGTATGTTTTAATAAAGGTTAATAAATTAGTATTGATTTTTTTGTCCAGAAAAATTCAATGCTCATGTTTTGGCTCTAAAACAAAATATAAAACGAAAAAGTAAACCCATAAAGTTTCTGTTTAGAACTGCAACGTCTTTGCTCTCGCTGCGGCACACGGTTCTTTTTGGACAAGCACGGAGCCGTTGTGAAGGCCAAATGTCGCTATCATTCTATGAAGATGAACAAGAGGAGGGGTAAGCTCCTCCTTCAGTTTTAATAATTTCGCTTTTTCCAGAGAACAAAGCGATGGTCGAGCGTTATTTGTGTTGCGATGGGCCTACCGGCTCGGTGCCGTGCTGCGTGGCCGAGAGTCACGTCAGCGAGTCGAGGCGTATATCGGAACTGGAGAAATTCAGGTAGTTTTGTTTTTATCTACGCTAAAACACCTTTTTTTGCAGGGAGTTCAGCGCTGAAACCGGGCCCGACGATCCGCGCTCATCGGCTGCTTACGCGCTCGATTGTGAAATGGTGTATACTACTTGGGGGCCGGTAGTTCATTTAATTTTCTAACGTAAATCTACTAATTTGAGGCCCTCGCTCGCGTCACCGTCGTCGACTTCGACGACAAAGTGGTGCTCGACAAGAAAATTCTACCACGCAACGCCGTCGTTGACGCAAACACCAAGTATTGTGTCGTTTTCTATTACCACCTGAAATTTAGATTCTCTGGCCTGACCATCGAGGAATTGAACCGCGAGGGCTGCTCGTGGAAAGAGGCGAATAAGGCACTCGATACCATCATCAATAACAAGACGGTCCTCATCGGACACTCCCTGGAGAGTGATCTCAAGGCCATGCGTATTGGTTCGTTCTAGAGCTTTTTGTGGCTCTTTGTAATCGAGGGAGAGATTTAGGCTCTAGGTTTTATAATTGTAAATTGTAACTAAAGGAAGCGCTGTTTTATTGTTTTTACCATCCCCAAACATCAGACCTACAAATTTTTAATTGGAAACATGCTAAGAATTTATATTTTTCGATCGAAACTGGCCGGCCTTCCGTCAAAATTTTGAATTTTTAGACATTTTCTAGGTTTTTTAAACAGGTGCGATTTGACTAGAAAGAATTTGTAAAAAGACTGTTCAAATACTTGCTATTGCGTAATGTTAAATCATAGGAAAAATAAGGTCCCCTGGAAATATCAAGAATAATCTTTCTATCAAATATAAACTTTTCATTTAGTTCACCGCCGCGTCGTCGACACGTCGATCGTTTATCCCCATAAATTGGGCCCAACGTTCAAGCGGCCGCTGCGTGAACTGGTCTCCGAACACCTTGGAAAGATTATCCAGGAAGACGGTACGGGTCTTGCAAAGATATTTTGAACTCGTTTTAGTCACCGGCCACGACAGCAAAGAAGATGCTTCCGCTTGCATGCAGTTGATGCTTCACAAGATTCGCGGAAAATAGAATGCCTCCCCCTTTCGATAGAGCTTGTTTATAATGGTGCACGCTTTGATCTCACTTGATATTGGTGCGGTGTCACTCGTCTGTTATCGTTATCTTTCCCTCCCTCATAGTCGAGGGAGTGCACAACCGGAGTTGTTCTTGCATAAAACGCTTAGTAGCTGAACACCTCGTTTGTCACCGACATTTCAGACACATATGAAGCTTTGGAACATTTAGATCATTCGAGCCTGGAGACTGTAAATCTGATTTTCACAGGCTGTTCAACATTTCACAGCATTCCGCCCTTTACCAGTTGTGTTCGTTTGACCGGGACAGGATGGCAGGCATACAGGGGAAGGGAGAATCTGCGCTATGGCCCCGCCCCCTGTTCTCTTCCCCCGTGGCCTATAGCCTAGTCTCACTCTTTCGCCGCCTATTCCGCGCCCCACCCCTCCCCTGTGTGTCTGCGCCCCGCCGTCTGGCGCACTATCCGCCAGCCTACTCAGGAACACCGCGGAATCATGTGATTTATTTTATCCGGAGAAAAGGTGAATTGCCTGTCGTAATGAAATACGCCATGCTCCGCTATGTTCACCAAGTGAAGAAAACGCCGTGGAAAGGCGTTGACCGTCGCGGACAGACCTCGAGTCCTATCATACATCGCCTAACAGTCTCCTGTTTTTCACCCTCTTCTATTGACTCACCAACAGCCCTATCGACTGATTGAAGGCAACAACCCTTATTTGTTGTTTTGCCTGAATTTTGGCGTATATACAAGCGAAAATTAGCTATTTTGAGCCTTGTTAGAAAAACTTCATTACCGTTTCATCTGTAGCTTTCTGATCTTTCTCCAGAATTCGGCGGTTAAAAGGGCTATCTTGCGCCCGTTTGCTAATCGTCCTAAATCCGTTTGTGCTTTCAGGATGTCTTCCGACGTCGTCGACCCGGCCGAGGGTTATTCGATGGTTGACAACGATAGTGATGATCTTGTTGAGGTTGAAAGACTTTTTGCGATAGTATTTACAATATTCTAGGTATTCCCACCCGCTCGTGCATGCGTCTCTTCTGGCGAACCCTCGTTGGATGGCTCTGGGGATGACGATAGGGCCCTGTCCGACACTGAGATCCTCCATGCAGCGAGAACAAAGGTATTTTCCGGTTAAGAATTAACTTGCCGGTTGTTCAGACGATTGCCGGCCAAATGAAGGGGCCGTCGAGTGATCTGTTGGAGGGAGCCTGTCAATTGGAACATGAGGTGGTTTTTTCTATTAAAGAGACCTATTAATGATAAACCCGTTTTCGAGGTTTTTGATACTTTTGACTAAAAATCCGCCGTTGTAAATAACCGTAGATTTGAAAGGAGTTTAACCTTTTATCAAACCAATTTATTTTCTATTTATTTTTCAATGTTTTTCCAGGCTCGAGCACGCGGCGATGAATGGGAAGATATCCTCGGCAGTGGCGATCTCCTAAAGAAAACTTTAAAAGTACATAACCAGCCATAATTATCACCATTTTTAGGTGGGCCACGGACATGAGAAAATACGCGATGGCCAGTGGATTTTGGTGAAGGTGAGATATTCTTAATTGTTTTACAGGTAACCTTTTAGATTGTCGATACTTTGCGGGGCATCGACAGCCACGAATCTTTTCGCTTCATCACCGGCTTCGCAATGGTCATTGATGGTTCGTTGCTGCTTTTTTTTGTACAAAAACATTTAGCCTGGGAGCTCGTCGCGAAATTGATGGTTGAGGGAGAAATTTGCGCTATCAGGACGTCATCCCGTTTCGCCTATGGCAGCGCTGGACTCGACGATCTTGTCGGTCCCAATCAGCAAATGGAGTACACGGTAAATCGTTTTATATGCAGGGGGATAGTAGCCTTTTCAGCTCGAAATTCTTGAGATACAAGAATCCCCAATGTACACCTCGATGCCGGAGGAAGAATTGAGCGACTTCTTGTTGAGCCTGAAGGAACGGGGCAACTTCTTCTTTTCGCGACAAGAATTTGAAAAGGCCATCTTCGTCTATAACCGGTAGCTGCAGTTTTTATCATCTATCTTTGTTTAGCGCCGCAAACGTGATCGAAGGACCCGAAGACAGCGAGGGACTACGCAAGCTTTTTTCGGCATTGAACTCGAACCTCGCCGTTTCTTATGCAAAGGTATGCATAGGTAGAATTCGTAACGGACTTTTTAGATGGATGAATGGTCAAAGGTTGAAGAGTATGCGACGAATGCACTGTCGCTACATCCCCTGAACACGAAGGCTTTTTATTATAGGTACATCGCTTTTACTTACAGAATTTGTGGTTTTTTAGAGCTCTCGCCCTTATCCGTAGGAACGAAATTGAACTGGCTCTCTCCGATCTCCAGGAAGCTGCTGATATCGAGCCAAATGAGAAGGTAATTTCTAGCACGTCCTCAAACTTAGTCTCGATTTAGTCGATACTCCGCGAGATTGAGCGTGTCAAATTGATCAAGAAAGATGCGCGAGAGAAGGAGAGACAAATCTATAAGTGAGTTCGCTTCTATTTGCCCGAAATTTCATGCTTTAGGAAAATGGTGGCCGGATTGTATTCCGGAGAAGCACCACATCCCGCCACCCTGCTCGACAGCATGAAGCTTTTCCTGTCCTCCCGCCTTCACATCGCCGTCCTCTCCTTTTTTGTGGTCATGCTCGGGCTATTCATCCACTTCCTCTCACAGCTTAGTTAGTCTGTCCCACACCATGCGTTACCTTTTCCAAATATAGTGAAAATTCCAGTCTCTGAGAACTGTCAGTCCATACCCCCCCCGTGATTTCGGCTCAATTTCCCGATTCTCAGCGATGACATTACCAGGGACGTGCGGTTAATGTTAATAGTATAATCCGCCCGAGCCTGGGATGTTCTTGCTGTTCCCTTAAAAATGTACTTACGACCTCGCCATTGTATCTAGCAGTTTTGTGCGAGATTGAACATGTGATTTTTTGTGAAAGTATATTTGTTGTTTCTAGTTCACCACCTTCAATCCACTCGTTCCCGTGTAGAGCTTCCTGTTTTTGAAAGAGTTTTTGCCGATAAACGGCTGATTTACATTTTGAAACGGATTAGGAGTACGCCTCTTCGATTGGATCCAATACAGCGAATCAGAATACATTATATCCAGCGCCATGGTGGCGGCCGGGCGACGTCCAGAAAAGCAAAACAAGAATCGAACACGGCGTCGTAACCATCATGTAGGTTTGAGAGTTCGTGAAGTTTTGTATTTCTGGAGGCCAGATGGTTCTTGGTAGTTTGCGGTTGTGGAAAACCTATGCCGTTTTTAGGGTCTGATCGCGTTTATAGTATTTTAGTAGTTTTGATGAGCAAAACACGATAAAGCGTTTAGAAACTCAAAAAAACAACAATTTTTTAAATAGAAATTGAAAATTAACGTTTTCGGAAATTAACCCCCAGCCGGAGTTCAGCCATAATTTTTAAGGGCTTTCTATACATAAAATTTATCTTAAAAGGGTTATAAATGGTGTATTTTATTAATGGGACCCTAGGGGCGATAGACCAGATTTCTGCCCGCCATCATATAGCTAAGCCCCCGCCCCCCCACTAACAGTCCAGTACCGAACAGGCCGACTTTAGGGAATCAACGTACCGCTCCACGAGCCGGACCCGAATTTCCCCTCGCTCGCCATCAACACCCAGCGCGCACGTCGATATACACAAGAACTACGGGTAATTTTGTTTATCCAACATATTATTTCCTAATTTCAGTATATGCAACTGACGCAAACGATGAAGCCGCAGGGATCGATGATCAGATTCTATCATTTGCCCCACGATTGTTTCCATCGCCTGTGGACCTGGTTGCCGATCGTCCAGATCGCTCAAAAGTTGGCTAGCTATGGCGTCTAATGATTACTTTTTAAAGGTATACCTATCGCGACGATCCGTACGACTGGATTGTCCATATGCCCGTGCCACCGCTCGCCATCGAGTACAAAATTCACAAGCGCATCCCGGAGGTTTTAAACGTTTTTTTTAAATTTAAATCCTCTTGAAGGACGTGTACATTGATGGTGTCGTGCGGAGGTTGAGCATCATGCGCTTCCACAAAGTTACTCAGGATTCGTTCGAGATGCGGAATGATCACTACAGGTTCGCCTCGGCTAGGGTGTCGTTTAGCCCACCCAGCCAATATTTTGACTATTTAACCTCAGTTTTTTTTCATATTTCGGTATTTTCGAATTGAGTGTAAAAAGATTTGGACTCTACAGATCAAGGAACATTTTGGTATACCTTACATTCATGTATCTCCAAGGATAGAGGAGATAACGAGATAAAAAGTCGCAATAATCGTCTTCTAGCATGACCCCAATCCTGTACGCAGAGCTGCAGCGGCGCATGGAGATCTCCTTCAGGTTTCCGGAAACTCAAGAATCCCTAAAATGTTTTATTTTGAGATATGGCGGTGGTTTTCGGCCGACGTGGCGCGGTGCAAGACTTTCCGAATTGCTGCAATCAACCCGGAAGTGCTACCTAACGGAGCAGGTAATTTGGCCAATTTTGAAATGGCTCTAACTTCATCAACTTCAGAAAGCTGGCCCGTACAATTATGCCCTGCTGTGCGCCCTCAACGCCTGGGAGGTGCGGGCGGCGATGAAGAAGCGCGGTAGATGAAAGAGTGTTTTATCTCACCGCGATTTAGTAAACGAGGCCGTCACCGTCATTCGACAGCAATTAGGCAGCAAGGAGAAGAAGGACATTGAAAAATTGCAGGTAGCGACTATCCGACCCTGGAAGGTATCCCCCATTTAGGCCCGTCTAAAACTCAACGAAAACTGGGTGAAGGCGCGCAAGGCTTTGCCCTTGATGCCTCCGCTGCGCGCTCCTCTCCCGTTGACGCTGAGCAGCTATCGGTGCTTACTATTTAAGTTTCTATACCTAATGCCGCTCTTTTAGCCACAGCCCACTGAAGCCGTTCGTCGACTTTCCACAGCGTACCCCTCACGCGTTGTTCAATGAAATCGTCGAATATCCGCCGCACACAGGTTCAGAAAGCTTCTTTTTTTTCTAGTAAGGTTAAACTTCGACATTTTAAAACTTTCTGTTTTTCTGATTTTCCTGTTTTTTACCCACTTGAAATAAATTTAAATTTTACTAAAAACCATTAAAATACTTACTATTATGTTATAGGCATTTCTGGTCTGATACAAAAAAATTAGCCCCCAAAACGGATCAACTTTTCCAGGCTACACGATCCGAATGTGTGAGACGCTGAAAAAGCTGAAGCTGCAGCCAACCCCCGACGGCACCATCGTGGTCAACAAGGGACAATGGACGAAAAGCCGCCCATCCCGCTACGGCCATCAACCCATTGCGGCCATCGTCAACAGAGTAGTTTTTACGCCTCGATCGTAGTATCCAGTTAAAGGTGGGCGACAACGTCTACCTGCGCCCCGACAATTTCAAGGAGAGCGAACACGCTCCATCCATCGGCCGCATCTCCGGCTACAGCACCGTCAGCAGCATCTCCACGGCCACTACGGTATCAGGGACTCAAAAGCGAAAAACCGACATTCAGGGCCCGCGTCATCTCAAAAATCAACCGCTCACTAATCATCCACGGCACTCGACGTTTGACCATCGCAGTGAGCTACCGTCCCTCACCGAGCATTATTGTGCCAAAAAAGGTTTCTTGGTTTAAAGAAGGGGTTTGGCTCCTGAATTTTCAGCTTTATTTGGCTTCCGGACGGGCTTAAATATAGTTTACTGTTTTTCAAAAACCTTTAAATTAAGTTTTTCATTTTCGCTTCTTACTTTCGAGTCATACCTCTTATTTTTGGGTTCTCCGAAGAAAATTCTGAACGCTTTAGATTTTGCTTTACCTGAGAGTCCAGGAGCTCAAATTGAACCCTAGATCCAGAAATATAAACTCAACTCCTCCAATTTCATTGATTCAGCCGCCGCCGAGTATCGCCAGCGCCTCGCCAACGAGACACAATCCGTGCTCGCCGAGCTGAAGTCGGAGTTCTTACGCTAATCCTGATCCCTAGCGATTTAGCCGACTCCCCGATGACGTCCGAATGGACCCCCGTTTCATGCAGTGGATCCAGGGGCTCGAGATGAAGCCCAAGGTTCTGTTTCATAGCCACCCCCACAAATTATGCCTTTTTTAGTTAACGGACCCGGTGGCCCTGGCGCACGCATTGCAGGTGAGCCTGATGACCGAGGAGCGACTTGGAGACCTGATCAAATTACCAAAGCTATCGCGCCTGCAGCGGATGGAGGCGCGGGTGAGGAAGATGTTCTCCAGGAAACACTGTTCGTTTCCCTACAGGTTCTTCTTTCCGCTTATCGGCGTCAGATGGAGGTCGTAGAAGCTTTGTCGCCACAGCGCGTCGAGAAGGAGTCGTTGGCCACGGAGAGGAAGTAGGTGGCTGTGCATCTACTTACGCGATTTAATTCCAAACATACAACCTTTTCCGGCTTGCTTTTAACAACCCATGGCGCGAGCTGCTCGGCCAGAATCGGGTCGACGAGCGCACGCTGGAGCTGTTGCCGTGGCTGGTCGGCCACTCGGCTTCTTGTGATCATCTACGAGATACTTCAGATGAACACAACGAGCTCGTGGACGCTGGATGAGTGCAATTCGCGTGCGACGCTGATCCCCCGATGTGATCGTCAACTTCTCCGCGCCCCAGATGCCATCATAAACGCAAGTATTATAGGCTCTTGTTCAATTTCCGCTTCTCCTTTCACCGCCGAGAATTTAGACTGAAACTCGTGCTCGCATTGCCACACTCCTCTACATTGTCGCCGCTTTCATCCTGCTCGTCGCCCTGATCTGCGTCCTCCGCTAGAAGTTTCCCCTTCTCCCTCCAATTTTAAAAATTAATCTATTTAATTCTTTTTTGGGTTTTACTCTATTGAACGTTTCATTCCTGTGTGTTTAATTAATAGATGGCAAATGAATGAAGATGAATAAAGAATTTTATCCGGATTTTGTACAGATTCCTTCGAAAGATGGCGTCCTTGTCGACAAGTTTCCCCCACAGCAAAAGGCATCCCCGACGGTTGGTGGGACGATTGGTCGATCCAGGGTGTGTCTAAATTATATATAGTTTTTAGATAGCTAAATTTTGGTTTTTGCATTGTAAACCTACATAAATGGCCGCAAGTAGCACGGGGTTGCGACATCTGTCGAGAAAAATCGACTGCGCAGCCGAATAGGTGGCTGCAAGCCCGCTGACCGCACCCAATACTTTAAAAAATCGTATAAATAAGTTAATCTTCTTAGTTTCGATGCAGTCAAGCTCTAAAATAACTTACCGATACAGAACAAATTGAGAAGAAGCTGCACCTTCGGTGTATGTGTAAGCACACTAAATAATTTTCGATAATAAGAAATTATTTCGGGAAACCTACTCTTTCCACGTGGCCAGCGAGTACACGCCGAACTGGCTGATCTTCTGCTTCTGGTGGGCCGCTCTCAAGTACATGTTGAACAGGGCGGGGAGGACGATTGATAACAGGGCTATCGTCGAGCCGCCTACCTAGAAAAGAAGAAATTAACAGTCGTTAGGCAATAAAAAATGTACCGACCAAATCAAGGAAAACTCCAAATTTTGGTATGCTCAGAGCTACGAACAGCACCGCGATCCAAATCATCGACCGCACGGCTATCCGCTGACAGCCGAGGCCTAAAAAACAGTACGCAAAATTCCTATCAACACCTACGATTGGGTACTCGGAACAGCTTCTCAAACGAATGGAATACGGGAGAAATGACGATCACCAGGGCTGACGTGACGTGCAACGTGATCAGAATCGTAACCCCGTGCCGTACCCACTCGGTTTGGATCGATTTCGAAGCGTCGTCCTGAAAAATAAGAATTTAAAGTAAAAATCGGTTCTCCGACGAATTTCCATTGCTTAGAACCGACCTACCGACAAGGAGTTACCGTAGACGAGATACGAGTACACCGATACTGGCACGTACATGGCAACAATTACTGTAATAAAGGGGTTTTTAAAAGATAAAATGGCTCGCCTGTATAAGCGGAAACGATAACCCGCGGGAATTGCCTGGGAGCATGCATGTCTTGTTGAAAGGTCGGAAAACAGGAGTGGCAGCCGAAGGCGAAAAGGGCCGTGCCCAGCGAGAGGAAGATGCCCTGAAATTCGGGTTTTAAAAGGTTTTCTTCGCAATTACAAAATGCCGAAATTGATAATGCCCACATTTCAAAATGTAAAAATCTGATGCTGTCGAAAGTTCAAAATCCCGAAATTTTACAATTTCGAAATGTCTGCCAACATTTTCTGGAGATTTTCTAGGGATTCTAGGAAACATTTTCTACCTTTTTCGTGCCCTGAATCTTTCCAATAAACCTCCAGAACTGACCCCCATTTCCGGCGCATCATATTGAGCAACATCCCAGCAAGTCGGCCGATCCCAACTAGCCCCCAGAAAGATCAGCACGATGGCGGCGAGCGTGCACAGTGCCGCGCAAACGGCCGCTTGCCTAAAATCGAGAATTTTTCGAAAGAATGCTGTTCCTTTTTAAATTCAAAAAATTCAATTTTTCGAAACTCCGACAAAAATCGGAGAATTCCGATAAAGAGCAACGCAGAAAAATAGTTTTAAAACAAATTAATTTCAACCAAAGTAATGTCCGTCCTTTAAAAAATAAAAACGCAACCAGAAATCCTTCGGGCTCTCCAGCATCACGACCGGCAGCAAAACCATCGAGATGGCCGGTAGAATTATGCAAAAATCGAGATCGACAGCTGCCAGCCGAAGCAAGCTGAAAAAAGAGTATTTCTCGTAAGAATCAAGAAACACCTAGAAATATTCTTGGCGGCCAAGATGAGAAACACGGTGGTGACGCCGAACTGGGAGACACATAGCAAAATGCGGACGAAAATCCTAAAATTCAATGCGCTGTTGGATTTTGCGAGCCTGCTTGCCCTGCGTTTCGTCCCAGTGCGATGGCTGCCATCTGGGGATAGGGATCCTAAAAGTGGTTTATAGCCAAAATTTAATAAAACGAATACCGATGAAAGTGTAGATTGATAAATGTCGAATTCAAGTTTCTCGCCGCCTACCTGAAGCCCTTGCTGACCAAAAGTACGGCGCTTCTCGATGAGCAGCCAATTCTGGCCCAGCAAGATCCCAGTATATGCTGTTACGGAATCTTCAAAGTATCCCAACCCTTACCTGACAATAACGCGCCTCCAAGTAGCACGATCAACCCGGTGATCAACCCTGAAAATAGGGACTAGCTAAAAGTAGCGGGGGTCTCCGCAGGTCTCTCCAGGCTTCTGGCTTACCTGATTGCGCCAATGCGTGTGGCAAAACGACGAGTCCGGCGCCGACCATCGTCCCGATGATGAATGTTGAAGCCACGGTCCAATGGATACCGTCCCTATCTCTGCCAGGAGACATCGAAAACGACACAAATATGGCTTTAACTTGAGTGAAATTTTGTGGCTGTGGCCATGTCTTGGCTAAATAAATACACACGATTGGCTCGAAATCCCCTTAAGCTGTGTGACAGTTCTTGAAAACAACCGGTTTTGCTTATCTACTATACATTCGTGGAAAGGGGGGCTTAGTTTGCCTAAGGCAAGCCTTTTTTCTTGACGAATCGCCTTAAAATTTCTTAAATTCTAGAGATAAAATTAGGTGACCCCCGAAAACATGAATTTAACTTGGTTTTAAAGGTAAATAATTTTTTGTTTAGTGTTACTTCTTGTTCAATAAATTCTTCTTTCTTTACGCGAAAACCTCTTACTTTTTAAAATTTCGAGAACAAACCTCAGTGACCACATAGACCTTGTTCAGCCCCATCAAAACGGTCTTCTGGTCTAAAAGAGCCACAAAATAGACGAATCGCCCGCGCCAAAACGACGTTTGATCGAAATTCGATAGCGAATCGGTCCGCCCGGTCAGAGGGCGTTTCCAACAACTTTGCATACACTTATAGCGCGCCATCTCATCGTGAAAGTCAAGCACAATTTGTCAACCCGACGCCCAGGTGATGCAACCAGTGAAATCAGGTCAAAATGCGCTATTGGAAAGTGGGCTATTATGATGGCATGCCCCGGCTAACCATGCCTGCCACAAGGATCACGCGCAATTGCCAGCAAATTTCAGGCAGAACGGGTTTCACCCCCCCCCCCCCCCTCCCACTCACTTCACCTTCACGCCCAGGAAAACGTCAGGAAATGTGTGATATATTTGATGCCCAGGATCAAGGGAGCTCCCAACCCGTTTGGCCAACTCTTTTATTCGAAGCGATGGCAGCAGCAGGGCGAGAAATGAGGTGATGACAGGGTACAGAGGGCCAAGGCGGTGAAAGTATAAAGCATAACAAGAATTTGGCAACTATTTACTTTTGTAGACCCGAGAACGCCGAGCAGGTCCGTCGCCATTTTTCGTTTTTTTTTATAACTTTCTTCAAAAGGCTTGCGAACTTTTAAAGGTGGCGAACCTGCCCAATGTTTTCGGTGCTCTTAACAAATTTGGGGGATGTATAAAAGGGCTACTAACTACCTTAAATGCCTGGACTACACGGCATATAACGAATCGAGACGGGGACAATATCAAAAGTTTAACCGGGTCGCGGGGACTAAAAGCAATGTTCTGAACAATGGAGCGGGGGAGAGGAAGGCTGTAGGATACCCGAATGAACTTGTCGCTAGCAAAACAATAATCAGAAATATGGTGGCTGTGGGGGTTGGGCGGGCGGGGGTTGTTGGTAGCCGGGCCAGCTGGGTGGAGGGACGGCAAAGTTGGGCATCGTCATCATGGCTGGTGGGGCGCCAAGCTGGAAATAAGAAGATGTGGGGGCGATTAGGATCGTATAGACGTAGCTTTGGCGAAACCAGTAACTGGTTCCAGCCAAAAATGTTTTTGTTTGTTACATTGTTGATTTACAAAAAATCTTTGGTTTTTTAAAAATGTATGTAAATCGTCAAAATAACAGGTTTTACGATTTTTCTAAAGGGTTTTATAACTTTTTAGTAAAAAAATTTAATAAAAACGCTTTAAAATACAATTTAAAACGCCTAAAAATTTGGCCAGGTATGCTATAGACGAAAAGCCCACCATTTGACCAGGTTGCTGCATTGGCATCTGCACGGCCGGTGACGCCAGCGCGGGAGGAGCCACCATTTGCTGCTGACCAAAATTCGGCTGTTGGTATTGCACAAACTGGTTGCCGCCTAGGAAAGAAATATACTGTGGAGATAAAAAATATCTCACTGTTCGGCTGGTTCGAGTAGGAGAAGACTGGGGGTGGCTGTGACATATCCATGAACCGAGGGGTGCCCGCCGTTGTCGGAGTTACAAGCGGAGAAGGTACCTGAAATTCAAATATGTGATCCGATTTCGGAAACGTACAGCTGGTGTTTGGACGGTGATCTTCGCCGGCATCGACATTGGGGTGGCGATACGTTGCACTAAAAAGAGGTGAATAAGATATAGTCAATATACCAATTGGACTGCTCAGTTGTCGGGTGATAACTGGGGTTGAGGGCGCCACGGCTGTTGGTGTCACTTGCACGGCTGGCGATGAAATCGATGGTGTAGCGCGAGGAGAAGGCTAAAAATAAAGGGTGTCGACTGTATTCCTGGAAAGAGGAAGTCGACTAGCGACGCCAAATTGCAAAGAAAACCTTATTTTCGTAACAAAATATCCTTTTTTTTTCTTTTTTGGGACGGTGTCCATTTACTACATAAACGTACCGGAATATCATTCGACGGCTGAGGAAACGGAAAGCCCAGGATAGCATTTTCCTTCGCCCTGTTCAACTTCGCAAGCTGCGATCGCGGGATACCAGCCGGCTGAAAGTAAGAATATAATGGCCCAGATGCACGCAACTTACGTATCTCACAGAATCCGCTGATTTCGATCCCAGAGGTGTCTGGGCGGGGGAAAGGTTATCGGTGCTCACGGACAATGGTGGTAGGCTGACCGGAGTTACTTCGCCACTCGTAGCCCTAAAAAGGTATAATTATAGCAATATTATTAAAACTAACGTGGATCCAGTAGCGCCGGTCGCTAAAGCCTGGGAAGCTTCAAAGGGATCTGGTGTCGGGGCAACCGATGCAGTGGACACTTGAGGAGTAGACGTCGAGAAATCCGTATTGATCTAGGAGGGAAATTAATTTGTCACAATAAATAATAAAAATTTACCGTCAACCTGGGTAACGGTGGTGGAATTGATGGCGAGTTCATTTGTGTGGGAGGTCGATATGGGGTATTGACCCACGCTGGCCGCGGATTATCAGGAATGAACCTACATCAATAATAAAAAATCACCAAGAAAGTCCACCTATCCCTCTGTGGCCTGTTTCCGTAGTTGCCGCCATAGTCGCCTCGTGGACCGCCACGACGTCGCTTGAACTTCTCCTGGACCCACGGTCGCGCCTCCTCATTGTATCGCTGCACCAAATCGACAGCTTGTTGCAGAAAATCGTCGGATGGCTCGATGAAGTGAACATCCTCCAGCGGATCGTGTTCAGGCGTAGGAATGGTAAACGTAGCTGAAAAATTCTAGCCATGAACAAAAGTCCACAAAAACTTACACTTCAATTCGAGCATGCATTCGACCGGCATGATGGCCTTCGCGTCATGACGTGCCTGTCGTGCTAGCCGAGTTTGCCATTCTTCATCCGACGGAATGATTACAACGCATTTTCGACGAAAATCCTAGATGAGAAGTTATGGGGAAACTTTTAAACTTTCAAACCTTGAAATTCGTCAGTTTCCTCTTTCGGGCATCACGTCCACAATTCGTCGCGTCAATGATATAATTTCGACGTCGGCGGCAAGCCAAGGTGACGTAACTAAAACCGAATTTTCGGACTAACTCTCAAAGTTACCGATTGACGGCCTTAGCAGCCAGTCCCATCACCATATCCCAACGGCCCACGTGGACCCGGGATCGCGGAACGCCATTGATCTAAAACAGCAATTTACGGGCAATAAAAACTGACGCTACCTTCATCTGGTTCAACATCGTGTCAGCCGAGATGAGGTTCCAGAGTTCATCGGGGTGATCGCGGAGATAATGTCGAACCCAGGTCGTCTTGCCGACGCCAGGAAGGCCCACCTAAAACAAAGAATATAATTTAGACCCCGACGAACCATCATCAACACTGTACAGTCGGCCTTTGATTCGGGAGGAACTCGAGCACGGATAAGTGTCCGGAGGTCTAGCCACGACGCAAAGGTCCATTCCGGATCGCAATGGCCCCAGTTTTCTTCCGGATCCGGGAAATTGCCGAGATTCACAGCTACCTGAAGATAATGAATTTGCAAGCCTCGCCTTTCGGTATACCTTGCAGTTCTTGATGGAAATGCTGGGGTAAACGACGTCTCCATCCGCAAATGGAACATCGGTGTATGCAGTTCCCAATTTCTCTCCATCAATGTAGAAGCTGATGGACCGTGTTTCGAGGTTCAGCTCGGCGGTGATCACTTCACCCAAAGCGACGGCTCGTCCCCATTCGGTAAACACGTTGTTGCTGGCCACTTTACCGGATGTGCAAAAGCACCATGTTCGATTATTTTCACCGATCTAAACGGAATGTCTAAGTTTAAGCACCTATACTTACGATTGTCGACGAATTTCCCAGCGAAAAGCCGACACGCACTTCATAGGGCTCGATCTCTTCAAAAGGCAGATGCTTCGTGGATAGATGCTCGCGCACCTAAAATCAAGGGGTAAACCTAGCACACTGGCTACTGCACCGCGAAAATCCACCGAGTTTGACAAATTATATGGTCAAGCTCAACCATCTCATCAATGGGGAAATCATTTGACAGGTTGAACTTTATTAAACAAAACAATATAACAAAAATAACAACGTGAGATCGAGGCATTAGTCACCAGTTCTAAAGGGTATTTCCCACCCAGTGTGTGCACACGCGTTTACCCGGAATCATTTACCTTCGCCTGGAAAACCAGGCGCCGTGGTTTGGCATTTTCTTTGGTGACGTCGCTAGTAGTGAGCGGTGGAGAGACCACCTAAAAATAACTATCAGCTTAGGTCTAAAAACTACCTCAACCCCAGCCCCAGACTCGGGAGCCTTTTCTGGGAAGGGATACTCGTAGGGGATCGGAACACCGAAGGTCGTTTTAACCCCTAAAAAATCGGTAAAAAGTAATTCAGAAACCGACCTCCGATGCAAAGACCAAGGCCATCAGCATTTTCCGGGTGGATGACTGACCAACGCTCGCCCTCCTTGTCAGCCTCACATTTGATATGCAAGTCGGCATTGTCTAAAAACAACATTTATATAGCGCATAGATTTCAAAGCTTACATAACGCAAACCGTAAGTGTCGTAAGTAAAAAAACCTACAGTAATCGAGCTGGAAGGCGTTCTCCGGCGGCAAAGTCTCCTCCTCAATTTCCTCCTCGCCCCGCTTCTTCTTTTTGGTGCGTTGAGACGGGGGAATGCCGGCGGCGGCTAAGTGGAAAATCACCAGACCAAGAACAGAAATCATACCTTCAAAAAGCGCATCGTCATCATCCGATGGGACCGGCTCACCGTGGAATTCGGGCAACGGTCGTTCCTCTTCAACCACCATGCTAAGGTCCTCCTCGTTCGGGATTTCCTGGGCGTAGATGACCTCTATAAAAAAATAATTTTTGATTTGGAAAACCCATTACCGGGTTTCGGAGCCGTCGTTCCGCTCTTCATGATGTTGGACAGCAAATTTGAAGCCTTGCTCAGCAATTCAGAGGCTTTGACCGGATCGGAAAGCAACTCGAGACCGATCTCCACACGCTCTTTCGCCGGTCCGGAAGCACGCTGCTCGTTGCCCTCAGAAGTAATGGGACGTAGGAGAAGCTGCTCCTCCTCTTCCTCGGCGTCACACAGCTCGCAGACATTGTCCACCAGCGTGTCGATGCATTCCTCGATGTCTTTCTTGGCTACAAATAAAAGGTTGATGAATTCAAATTAAAACAAACCTCTCAGCTCCTTCAGGACCATCAACAACTCGTCTTGAGGAGCTGCTGCGACACCTTCGCCGTCTGGTGATGACGGGCCCGAGTTGTGACCAGAGACGGCATCAGGGCTTTCTAAAGCAAATCGTTCCGGAAATAAAGATGAGCTCTAACCGATCGGTGTGTATGGTTGATCAAGAGCATCTGGAGACTGCGGGCCAGCGGGCGAACGAGGATTTGCCGATGGTTGCCAAGCCGGTGCAGCGGGCGGTGGTGGAGGAATCAAGCGTGGAGGTGGTGGTGGCGGTGGGATGATCATCTAAAAACCAGTGTTATAAACATCCGGATTTATGTTCATTTTGCGATTTTCATTTCCCGATTTTAATCTGGTGGCCATATCGCCGTTTTCTATTGATGCCTGCTAAATTCGTTCCGGCCGAGTCGCACAATTTCTCGTAAATAAAGAGACAACGGCGAAATGAAAATAGCGAGATGAACATCAGCCAAATGGCAAATCGGTGATGAAACTCCACCAAACGACTGACGCTACTACAAAACTCACATTAATAGGTGGCGGTGGAGGTGGCGGGATCAGAATCGTTGCCGTATCCGGAGTAGACAAGGAAGAGCTGGGTGAAATGCCTTGTCCAACCGAAGACCGTTGGGTGGACAGCCTAGGCATCACCAACTAGACATAAAAGTATAAAACGAGAAATGAACACTCGGACCTGAGGTGGTGGAAGAGCTGGTGATGGTAGTTTGTGCTGCTCTGGCGTGATGACGGGCATTTTCAACGGCATTGTCCTCTCGTTTCCAGCGGCGAGCCGATGGCGCTCATGCCTCTCACGCCGTTCTTGTTCTTCTAAAAAACCTTGTGGAAATATAGACAATCCTTACCGCGCATCCTCCTGGCCTCAATCTCCCGAATACGCTTCTCATCCTCAATTTCCAAGAGCTTGTCTTTGTCCCAGACGCGGCTGAACTGCTCCTGGCTATCCATGATGGAATCCAGAGGGTTCTAAAAAATGCGTTGATTCGCAAATAATATCTAGCTCACGATTTTGGGTTTCATCGTCCTCTGAGGCTGCTCAGACTTTTTGTGTTCTTTTGGGGTGACGGCTGGCGCGGAGGTCGAAGCTTTAGCGGCCATGGCTGCCTCACGAGCTTGAGCTTGTTGAGCCAGTTCTCGGGCTTTCTTTTGCTAAAAATAACAATGAAAAGCAGGTCTAAAAACTTGCCTCCTCTTGCATCTTGACCCATTGTAAAGCGGCAGGTATGACCTTTGGTCGTTGCTTCTCAAGCTCGCGCTGTCTCTCCTTCTCTCGTTCCCTCGCCTTCTCCTTTCTACGTCGTTCTTTCGCCAATTCTTTTTCTAAATGACGTAAATAAAATAAAAAAGGACTAAGTACCTTGCTCTTCACGCAAGCGACGCTTCCTCTCCTTCTCTTTCTCTTCAGCGGTGAGCTCCTGTAAAATAAAGAATTCGATCGATATTTCAATACCTTTTCAGCCGAGGCGACGCCCGGGACATAATCTTGGTCTTTCTTCTTTTCTTTCTTCAACTCCTTCTTCAACAACGCTTTCTCCGTTTCATCTTCACTGGATAGGCCATCATCGAAAATGTCTGGGTCATTCTTAAAACAAACGGGATTAGCTTGCGAAAAAAGGAATACCGTGTGCAATTGAGGGATCATTGAAGCAAGGTCCGGCTTGACATCTTCCGACGCGGAGGATTGTTGAACAGGTTCCTCGATCTCGTCGGCCACCGATGTTGAACTTGTCGGCTCGACGATCACCGCAGCGGGCTTTGAACGGCGACGCTAGAAAAAAGACACATAAACGAGGCAGTTCCAGAAAAACCTACCGGTTCCTCGGGTGGTGGTGTCGCGATCACCCTCGCTATACGACGCCGCTTAGGACGGCCGGATGTAGTGGCCTCAGCAGCTTCTTCAGCCGGCTCTTCGGCTGATTCCTAAAAGGGAAACTTCTTTGCGATAAAAATAATTTGTCCCGATGAAGATATCGGTTACCGGAAGTAATCTACAAGAAAAATCTTTAAAACGAACCGGTATTTCTTCCTGCACCTCCGGCGTGGCCACGACGGGCACTTCGACTGTTTCTTTGGCTTTTGCAGCTTGCTGGTTTTCCACGGCCGCCTCACGGTCCCGTAGAAATAACAGAAAAGGGTTCACGGCCTCCACATCACCCTAAAAACTGTGTCCACAAACTGATGACACGACAAACTGGCTCGCTAGCTGGTTCTTCTTTCGGCTTCTTGAGCTTCACGGGCGACTTGGCAGCGGGTGTGTTCTTGGCCTAAAAATATATTCCGCCGGTTTCACAAGTTTACCTTTTTTGGCTTAGCTTTCGGCGTCCCCTCTTCAGATCTATCATCCGGAACCACTTCAGCTTTTTTGCGCTTCCTGCTTGGAGCAGTCTGGGAACCGCTGGGAGTCGTGGATAGATTGTCGAGCGCCTCCTTGTCTGGCTTCTGGTCCTAAAAACGAGGTCCAAATCTCCTGAACAATTACCTCAGTGTCCGGTGGTTCAAGGCGCACGCCGTTGACGACGAATTCATAAAGGCGATCAGCGAGAATGTTCTTCGAGCCAACGGTCGCAAGTCCTAGGAACAACATTAGTTTTAGTATAAATTCAAAGCATTTAAAATGTCGAATACATATCTCCTTTTAATCTATTTTTTTATAATAGAAACACACCTCGTGATTCTAGCTCCTTCACGAGCCGATTCCGATCGAGAAGTTGTATGGTGGTAGGGTTGAGCGACGACGTGCCGTCCGCTCCAGCACTTCTCCTCGTGCGAGAGCTCATGGCTAAAACGGTAGAGTATTTTGGGGGTGTTTTCTAGATAGCAGAAGGAGAGAATTGAATTTAAATTTTAAATCGAGGTGCTATTGCGTCACCGGTGTTTCGTAAATATGAAATGTGCCAACTTCAAGTCCGGAAATTCGCCCCAACTCCCTAGCCAATTAGATATAATGAATTTTGGGGTTTTCTATAATAAAAAATAGTTAGTTACGCGATCAAAAGACATATGAAAATCATTCGAGGCTTTTTCGCGCGTTCTTTGCACGAGTTTTTTGGGGGTTTCAGTGCTGGCTACGGTGCCGCAGCCATGATGTAGCGGGTGGCAAGGGGGGAATTTGAAGACACCCCCGCCCCGCCAACGATTAGGCGACCTAAAGCTTCGGAAATTAATATTATTAAATCTAAAATCTAATTAATAAATTGAACTTATTATTTGTTTTCAGATGTGATGTTGGGCCCGCTAAAAAGGATATTGGCTCTCCTCGCCTTTCGCGTCTTTGCTGTCTATTTGGTCCGCTCTTGGTTCGTGCCGGATGAGTATTTTCAATCCACGGAGGTAAGAGCCACTATATTTACGAAAATATAATGTCAGGTCGCACATCATTGGCTGTTCGGCACCGGTCATCTGACGTGGGAGTGGGATGTCGGGCTGCGCTCGGCGCTCCATCCATTACTTTGCGGGGTCGCGCTTCTTCCTGCCAAGGTTAATTCTTCTGAATTTGGTTGGCAATCTCTCTTTAGATTTTCAATTTCCTGACGCCGTCAATGATCTTCAACCTACCACGGATCCTTCATGCATTTATCTTCGCCCTGGGGGACCTGTCTTTCCTCAATCTCGCCGAGCGACTTCATATCAACCACGCCAGTGCTCGCTACGCGTTTGCCATGTATTTATCGAATTGGTTCATCTTCTATTGTTCCCCACGGACGTTAGCGAATTCGGTAGGAATTTGCTGAAGTTACGGTCTAGAAAAATTATTTCAGCTTGAGACAGCCCTACTTTTATGCGCCCTCCGATGGTATCCATTTCCCGGCATCCATCCTCCGAAAGTAACCTGGCCCTATATGCTGCTGGGTGCGCTGTCTATTATGATCCGACCTACTGCCGCGGTATTTTGGTTGATATTTGGTGAGTCTAGCTGCTATTTTGGAATATTTTTTCCTTCTAGGTTTATCCCATCTTTACCACTCAACCGAACGCAAATCAGCCCTGACTACTGCCATCCTGGTCGTACCTAGCGTGCTCGCGGCCACAACGCTGCTTGATACATTATATTACGGGAGGCTGACACTGAGCGTCTACAACTTTCTATCGTTCAATGTTCTACAAGGTGGCAGCGCGTACTTTGGGGTAAGGATTTTAATTCTGCAACCAACCATAGTTCCCTAGGTACACCCCTGGTGGTGGTATTTTCGGGACGGTTTCCCGGCGCTGCTTCACCTTCAGCTGCTGCCGGTCATCCACTCTTTCTTTTCACGGCAACAAACCGTGACTCGGCTACCCCTATACGCGGCGATGTTGTATCTAGCGGTGCACACCTGTCTTCCACATAAAGAGCATCGATTTCTTCTACCGGCTCTTCCGCTCGTGCTCCTCTACACGGGTGCTTTTTCTCACTGTCGATGGATCCGTGTTCAACGACTGGTCACCACTGTGATCATCGCGGTCAACACGGCCCTAATCTTCTACTTTGCTTTATGGCACCAGGTACTTTATCGAATAGGAAACCGAACAGGATTTCTAGGTCGGCCCTTTTGCGGCAGCGAGATTTGTCTCTAAAGACGCAGCCGTCATTTCGGGACAAGCACGTGTCATCACCCTTATGCCGTGCTTTTCGTTGCCAGAATACGCGTATTTCCACGATCGGTTACAAACGTTCCGCTCACTGGATTGTACTCCACCCGTAATCGCACAGTAAGCGGTATCTAGATCGCAAAAAATCTGATTTAGCAACCAGACCTCTGTTGAAGGATGGAAGGATGAGGCCGATGCATTCTACGAGGATCCGAGAACCTGGGTCAATATTAACCGGGACATGGTAGAGTACTTTAGCGAGTGTAGACCCCCCTATTTAGGTGGGATCAATGACGCACGCAGTAATGTACGAAAATATCTATCAACTACTCGAGCCACTACTCTGGGAACTAGGCTTCAACCAATGTTCGCGACACTTTCATGCACATTTTCTAACGTCCAGTCGTCAGGACAATTTTATTGTCGTCGCCTGTAATAATAAATTGCTTTAACTTGAAGGTTGCAATGAACGAAATACGATTGACATCCCTTTATTCACAAGGCATACAATCGTGAAAATCACAAGAGAGCGTTATAGCAGGTCAATGCAATAAGCCAAAATACGAAAATACAATGCGGGGGTATTTCTGAAGGTTTGTCCATTTTGACATTAAATGCCCATTAGCAGCACTTCTTTTCGGAATTTTTGGGGTGTCGCTTCGACCTGCGTTTCTTGTCCCGTGCGTGCAGCTCGTCCTTGCCAGTTTCATCGTCTTCGCGGAACTTGGAAACCAGGTGTCCCTCTTTGTCAACCCGTTGTCCAGTTTCGAAAATAAGTTTTTCGACGGGTGTCATCGGTCGAGATACCTAAAATTACAGAATGAAACTGCTAGAGAATGGAGATACCCATCCATCGGCGTGCCTAATAGCGCCAGTCTGCAAATCGTTTTTAGCAGCACGCTCTTTTGTCTTCCGATTATGCCGCTGACTGGCGGTTGTTGGAGCTTGGCGCTAAAAACGCAATCTCGCTATTTCCGTCAACAGATACCTGGAAACGGTTTCCTCCTTTCTTCACATGAGCAACAGTGTGACGGCGCTGGTCTTCCTAAACCGTAATTTGTCCGTAAAAATAATTGGAATCCCTACCTTGCTAAAGCAGTCATTCGACGACGCGCAGCCTAGGCCCACCACGGTGTCGGCAAAGTCATTAACTTCCACAGCATGATGGAGATCTGGCATAGCTGTCGTACGCTTCGTCGCCTTCGTATCATGTGTTAGCCTCGGACCTAAGATTACGCTTGAGGAGTAGCAAACAAAGCTTACGCTTACAAGGGCTTGCCGAAAAGCCGTCATCAGACGACTGTAATGCATGCGGCGTGAACGACTTGAATTCGGTGATAGAAGCTCCTTCTGCCACTAACTTCTTCACTAAATAACATTGAGTATCACACATAAAGGCCTACACTGTCTCGGAGTCACCATGACGATGATCATCTCATCGCTACTGCTTGGAGCACTCGGGTTGAGAAGCTGCCCGGATTCTTGTGGAGTATTCGTCTTTTCATGGCTGATAGCTTCTTCTGCCCGAGTCCCTACACTTTCGAGTGGGTTCATGCTTAGCCGGCGAGCTTCCGCGAATCCGACCTCTGGCTCCAGAGCACACATTGAGCGGCGCTTCGCATCACCACTTTTCTAAAGACTCATTCAGCGCATATGAGTAGTGATTACCCTCGTCCAGACCGGCACATCGCCATTCGCAGTGTTGTCATGATTCGGCGCCGGAGCTTTATACGAGCGGCGGTTCCGTTCGCGCTGAATCAGGTAATGCCAAAAAAAGAGACTTGCCTGGAAGGTTTCTGCTTTGGATCCGGCCTCGCGGGTTGATTTATAGAGCCGTCCACCACGCTAAATCCCAATCAGAAACCGGAGATCGAAGAGTATACCTGAAGCGTCGGGGTTTGCTCCATGGAAGTGGCTTCGATTAGTCGGGGCACGTTAGCCTCATCCTCGTTTTTCTTTTTACGGCGGAAGACCTTGGCTACTGAAAAGCACAAAAATAATCAAAAGATGAAGCATCGGGCATTGCTATGATAAAAAAAAGTATAAAACCGACCATTTCTCAGAACCGAACTCATGGTTGCTCTTGAACGATTTGGGCGAAAAATTCGGGAGTGGAAAATGGGTGCCACGGGCCGCTCGACTTTTTCCATACACCCGACACCACTTTACGGCTACGGTACATTCCGCTCCGTTACAATACTGTAAATTGTAACCATCCGGAACTTTTATTCATACAACTCATTTTGCTTTACTTTGTCCAGACAGTTGACTTTTTGGGTTGTTTTTGGGGTGATTGTTTTTGGCCTATCTTGGCCGCATCCGCAGCTGTGTCCACTGACTGATGGTGTCAACGGTAACTTCTATAAAATGCCACAACAATCCCTACCCCCATACATCGTTTTTTACAGCGAATATGTACTCCTGTTGCTTAGCCTTGATTTCCGTTTATGCGCTGGGTACTAGTGCTAAAGAGGTCGGTACAGGGATGGGGGCGAGTGTAGAATGTACGGTTTTAGGCAATAGTTGATGCGGTCCCAGTTGACCCCGATAACCAGACGACCTGGGTGGGGCAATGGGAGAATCAGACGGCGATTGAGGAGCAGTGGTTAGTTTTTTAGACGGTAACAACGTCAGAAAGTTCTTTTTTTGTTTTTAGCCTTATTACGCGTCTTTTTCGGCAACTCTCACTAGCTGCTCTAAGAAGCAAAAAAAAACTAGCTATTGACCGAGAAACCTGCGCAAGTCTCCAGACAAAAATTAAACACCCGAAATTCCCGTAAAAATTTTTACAAGTGTCTAAGATTTGGGCGTTTTTAGACCTGGGGGGGCGCGGGGGGCGGGGGGGGGGGGGGCGCCCGCCCCCCCCCCCCCCCCCCCCCCCCCCCCCCTCCCCTTTTTCCTTTCTTTTCCCTTTTTTTTTTTTTTTCCCCCCCCCCCCCCCCCCCCCTCTAAATCCCCTTTTTTTTTCTTTTTTTCTTTTTATTTTTTTTTTTTTTTTTTTTTTTTTTTTTTTTTTTTTTTTTTTTTCTCCCCCCCCTCCTCCCCCTCCCTCTTCCCCCCCCCCCCCCCTTTTTTTTTTTTTTTTTTTTCTTCCCCCCCCCCCCCTGGTAATGGTGCTGCTCTCATATCGGGGTTAAAATAGTCGAAATAGTATAGAAAAATGCTAAGGAAACTATAAAACCTAGAAAGAAAGATCACTATACGAAAGTGTACGTATAATTTTGGGCAGCTGATTTTTAAAAAACCTATTCCAGGAGTGAATATCTGAGTTTAACCGGGCAAACGCTTGCTTCGCTTGCAGCCGGGGATGCGGCCAGTTGGCAAGGGCTTTGCGCGGCTTGTGTCGATACACTGACTACCATTGATGGGATGATGTCTGGTACCCAGGTATTGGTCATTCAAAAGGCACCCCGATTCCTAGAAGTTCCAAGAGGCCATCAAGGCGCCCGCGCTTCACATATGTCAGGTGGCGCTTGCCACGGCTGGGTTCGGCACTGGGCCCATTCCTGGGACGCGACTTATTTGTCAAACAATGCTGTTTTGTAGGTTTTTCGAGGGTTTTTTGATAAGTCCAGATATGCCTTATTAATAAGTTTTTTGGTAAAATTTTACTTTAATTCAAGTGGCAAAATATTGTTAAAACGTTGTTACATGCTTAAAATTGGAGTTTGTAGTCGAAAATCTGCTTTTTTAGGCGGAAAAGTATAATTTTCTACTTTTTAAGTTTACGAATAGTAAAAAAAAGTGCAGAAACCGTTACTTCTTCTATTAGAAAAATTCGAGGCCCTTCTTTTTCTTTCATTTTTCCTAACAAACTAGCGGAGAATTAGAAATCCCAATGAACCAGGCATGAATTTCAGCCGATATGTCCCCCTTCAAGCACCTACTCGACTCGTTCCGCGACAAAAAGAAGACATCGGCGCTGGTGCACAAGACGTGTCACCTCATCCACGCCTGTTCCAAAAGCGAGCCGTAGACGGCGGGTGGTAGTGTCCTCAATAAATATTTCTCGATGATCTATGGCCCTCATGTCGGGCAGTGGCCCCAACGACAATAGGGTCTCCATTTACAGAGACGTCACCTTGTGCCGGTTGTCTGTCCACATACACCGACAGAGACGTCGGCTTTTTGGCTTTTAGATTCGGTGGTCGGCTTTTGGTTATTAGCTTTGTTTTTAAGTGTCATTCGTAGTATTCGATAGCTGGCTGGGCATTATTTGGCTAAAGCATCTAGTAAAGTTTTTTTGTTTCGATATTATAAAGTCTATCTTGTGCAGAATTTTGCGCTGATTCCAGATTTAGTCCCCCTTTCCCTTCCGGAGTCGCAATACCTCGTCACATTCTTGCTCTTTTTATTTTGGAGCAGTATGGGACGCGGAGTGATGATACTGTAAACGAGGAGTCCTCCTTCAGCTGGAAGTGTCAAGAGAAGCGTAAAGCTATCCTCCACTCCCTTCTTCGAAGGGCCCTCCTTTGGGGTGAAATGTCTCGCCTCAGGGCGCGACATTGTTTGTCCCCAGATTCTCGGGTTCAGCCCCAACCATCCCATCTGCGTCGCGAGAGCCGTATTCGTTGCAAATTTTGGCTGAAGCATCGCGCGATACTTGATTTTTGATCACTTTTCTTCACTAATTTTATTCCTGTATTTTTGTCGATAGTAGCTTGGCGTATTATCCACAAGACGTATGCACCGGCTACGTGCGCAGAGAGATAGGGCTAATTGAGCACGCAGAGGGAGAGAGAGCGAGTGAGAGAGAGAGAGAGAGAGAGAGAGAGAGGAGAGAGACGGAGACGGAGACGTAAATAGGCATCCAAGTAGCCTGTGTCTAAACGTAGGCTTTAACATAATTTCACTTCCGGCAGCTCTTGAAAATCTCGCAATTTCTTCTAAAAAGGTTACGCTTCAACGGCCCTTTAATTAAAGCAATTCATGACTTCTTAATAAAGCTGGCGATGAATAACCTCAAAACTTTCGTATTTTACTCAAACTTTTAATTTCAGCTAATTTATTAACGCTGAATTAACCGAGATTTCGATAAACGCGCAATTATTTTTATTACAATTTATTAAACGGAAATTTTTTAGACATCCCGAGACTTTAAATCATCGAGATGAGGTGGCACTTCTATTTTCTGCTGGTGCTGGGACCTAGCATTGCCATCGCATTATCCGAGGTGAGCTTTTGACAATATTTTTTGGAAAAGAGACCAGCTTTTCGTTTATTTTCAGGTTTAAATTCTTAACAGCCTTATGTTTAAGTTTTCCTAGGTTTCTATTCAGTAGCAGGTTAAAAACACGAAAATTGGAAAATCCCGGATTGACCATATATCTGGCACTTTTTAGATTCGAAGCAAGCGACGACCAAGTGAATCGATTGTTTCTTCGAAAAATGCTACGGTACGCGCAATAACAACACCATTTTGGAATTTACAATGACCTTTCCGAAGCATTTTGATTTTTCCGGAAATCCACAGAAGCTGTCCCGGTTCCCAGTCCCTTTAAATCCAACACCGCCAATCCCATTATGACCTCACTTACTCTCGGGGCGGTAAATTCTAGCGCTGCATTGCTGGTGGGGGCCAATCCATGGGGGAGGGATGGGCTGAAGGGCTGTGTTGACCGATCCGTGTGGAAAATGACACCTCCCCGGCCTGGACGCCTTGCTCACGCGCCTCGCGTCGCCCGATTCCGCGCGAGAATCCGCGGCCCCGTCTGGCTGCTGGGGGTCAATTCGTGGAAAAAGAGCGAAACAAAGATTTTCGATGGTGCACGACCCGAAATAAGCAATTCCAGAAAACGCGAGGGTAGATGTTCGCGCGGTGGTGCGTCATAAAAGCCTTCTTTTTGATTTTGATTACAGATTTTTGCAGAATGCTACTGGAATTCTGGTGCAGCACGACTACCCGAGCTACGAGTTCGACGGGCCGCAGACAAAGCAGAGGCCCACGATTCGGCGGCAACACCCTCAACTCGTTCACCTACCTGAGCAGCAGCAGGGACCCGGCCCAGCCGTTCAGAATTCCGGAAGTTTCGCTTCTTCCGGATTCCGTAACGAACAGAGTCAGCCGCAAGTTTTTGGGGCGGGAATCCGTCCTAATAGCTATGGGTAAGCTCTCATTTTCTGCCCTTATATAAATGCGCTTATTTTTCAGCACACGCGCCCGGGTGCCAAATGGATACCCAGGAGCCGTAGTGGCCAGAACGAATCCATGTGAGTTTACTGCACGTATACTCAATGCAGAAATTCGCTAAATTAGAAAGATTATTTAGTCGCCACATTCGCTAACACCTATCATGGAGGACAATCGGCCCCTTCCCATGGCCCGATGCAACAAATGGGCCCCAGCCCTTATCAGGCCCCAATTGACTACATGGGCCAGGGGGCTGACTACGATAATGGCTATGGGCAGGTTGGGTTCCAGTACGGTGGATATCCGGGCTTGGCGAGACAAAATGGAGGCGGATATGGCTACTCCTATCGATGTAAGGACTACTGACACAAAATCACACTCCGATTCAGCGTACATCGAACGCCAGTCCAGAAGATACCCCGTGATGATCTACACCCTTGTCCAATGCGTACCCTGTAATCGAGCCAAACACTTACTAGCCACCACTTATCCAGATGTGCCGTCCCATTACTTGGGTAGGTGAAGACTTGGGCTGCCTTACTTCATCTACCAAACCGCAAACCAATAATGCAGCTATTTTAGAACTAGTCGGTAGCGAAGACTGGCAGCGCCAACTTCAAGCCGACCTCCACCAAATGACCGGCCAGGTCACCTTCCCCTACATCTTTGTCTGCGGAGATTTTATAGGAGGTGGGCAGCCACCCACTATCAAGCCAAAAAAATCATTTTCAGGAGCATCCAACCTATTCGAAATGCACAAATCGGGTCAACTTCGACAGGTGCTCAACAATTGTATGCCACGGAAACGATGAATTGTTGATAACTCGGCCTCCCCTAATAAAATATTCAACACCGTATACAACCTCGAAATGTGCATAATCAAGCAAGTATAAACAAAAGGCTTTATCTGTAACCGTAAAGAGATTCCTCTAGGACTGAGACGCCTATAGGGCCCTGAGAACGCGATCAATGAGCAATGGGGGGACACGCAATTAACAAGTGTACGCGTGAAACAAAATTAACAACTAAAAATGGTGAGAGGTTCCAAAAATTACCCGTAGGTCGCTATCACAGAACATAGATGCTTGGCACAATATCACAAAAGTGGGGGAAGGTCTGTTAGGAAGCGTAAAAAAGCTTTCCCAGCGGCCCTTTACAACATGAATTACTCTATTGTAAAGGAGAATATTATCAGGGCCAGATGTCAAGATTCAGTGGATCGGAGACCTCTGCTTCGGGCGGCATTTCTGATTGGGTGGGCTCGGCAGGCATCATGTAGGTGGTGCCACCTGGGCCCGGCTCAGCGCTAAACGAGAGTTGAAGAGACTGCTGATGCAATTCGTACCCAGTGTAGTCGATGAACTGGTCCGTGTCATACCAATCGTCACCGTAGCCGAACTCGGAGACCTGAAAATAAGCGGTCATGCAAAAGTTTTCGGAAAGCCGGTAAAAATAGCAATACCAAAACACAATTTTTTTTCAGATGCCGGAATTTCAATCCGTCGGAGTCTATCACCCGAGAAGCCCCTCGGGCTTAGAAAAAAAAAATCGATGATTAGGAAAATTCGACATTTTGAAAATAATCCTGAAAACTTACCGCCCTTGCTTGGCCCGTCCAATCAACCTGCTGCTGCGCATCGTCGAAATAATGGCCGTATGCTTCGGTAGAAGCAATTTGCCGGGGCTCGTCCTGTGGCGGTACTTGGTATGCCTATAAACACTAAATTGAAAAATCCAACGAAATATACGTAAGCGTCCGGTGGCGGCTGCATTTTTTGGTAGGGGCTCTGGGGCGCAGCATATTGAGTAGGGTAGAATTGTTCGACTTGAACGCGGGGTTGATCCAAGTATTGTTGAGCCTCTTCAGGCATTCCATGCCGTTGCTGGGCTTTCGCCGTCAACAGCCGATCAACCACCTAAAAACGGTTGTTTGGAAAGCCTAGAAATTAGCCGATGCCACTGCGTAACTAGGATTTGAAATACAAACCGTTCTCGCCTCGTTCATTTCAATGCGCTCAAGCGTCTCGTCTGTTGGGGCCGGCTGCACGCGCTTCGGCTCATAACCCGCCAATATACGTTGTCCGGCCTTCCGCAAAGTCTTCTAAAATAAATCTTGGTCAAGATATAAAAGACGAAACCTTGCAGTCCTCTTCGATAGCTTCAAAGATGGCCGAGCGATTCCAGCTATCGACCTTTTTCATGTAGCCGCTGTTCAGGCCGACCCTAGAAATTGGTTTTGAGCGTATTGAAGCAAAATCCCACTTTCTCAACTCGACGTCGGACGGACGCTCGCCTGACTTGGAATGCATGATGGAGATCGCCGCCTTCTAAAAATGATAAAATGAGTCACATAAAGCAGAAAATAAGCTTGGTGTGCCAATAAACGTACCAGTTTTTCCATTGGCTCCACGGTAGTGCAGACAAACGGAGAAGGAGGCATCACTTTGATGTGCGTGATGATGTTCGGCCTAAAGTTCATCTTCATGAAAAAGGAAAACGAAAAATACCTGTGCACACTGGGTGCGGATGAATCCTGGAACGGTCTAAAGACACGCCGTTTGCTGGGAGGCGCATCCGGGTCCTTGGAGTGGGAACGCTTGCTACTATAGGTAAGCAGGCGCTGCGAGTAGGTGCTAGAGCCGCTCGTGCTCGCCACCGCCACACAACCAGAAATGGAGCCCTGGGAACTAGCGGCATCCGAATCGTCAGGGCTTTGAGGACAATCTGAACTTTGTGTTAAAAATATGATCATAACATAAATAGCTCAAAATTGCGCTTGAAAGATAATATGGTAGGTAGTGGCTCACCATCAAGATCCGGAGTGGGTGGGCAAGCACTGTACACATCAGCATCCGTTCCGGTGGGACTCATGACCGCATCACTGGAAATCGCCTGCAGCGACTGCTCTGCAGGTTTACTGATGTCGCTGTTTGCCAGTAAGCCAGAATCCGAGGTGCCAACAGAAACTCCATCAGAACGACTCCTATACAGATTCAATAAACCAAGTACCATTACAGACCTGCTCTTTTTGTTTTTGGTTTTCATAATATATCCTCGTCCAGATTCTTCTGATTGGCGCGACGACGATCGAAGGAGGGAAGGATAATAGCGCTGGAGAAACCTAAAAAAATATCTAAAAACAAGGTACTTATTCAGACCTTTTCGGCAATTTTTCGAAGTTAGGCTCCGGAATAACGTTCTTCTCGATTTCTGATGGGCAGCGGGTCACCCAAAAGACTTCTGGTGGCATGTCAAAAGGAAACGCACAGAAGGACGCCTGAATTCAAAATAATATTTTTTTGAACAAATCCAACCGAATCCTCGTTTGAAGCACAAGTCCACCAAATCTTCTGGAGGCCCCCTTTCGTCGTATCGAGCAGACGAGGGATGAGGCGGTCCGAGCATTTCGGACAGCGGAGTAGCTCTTCTTTACTCATCTAAAACCACATTATGGAAGAGATTGAAAGACAGCGAGAATATGAGTATAGACATACGTTTAAAGACATTTTTTCAATGCTACAAGCCATGGCTGGGGTTGGGGGAGGCCTTCATCGACATTACTCAGGCCAGTAACGCCAAGTTTGCATTTCGTTGCTGCAAACGGGGAGTTTACGAAATACAGAAAAAAATACAATGAAGAATAGAAGAAGTTTACTGACTAATGCCGTTCAACTTACTTTTAAATTTTTCGAGGCAAGCTTAGATGTCAATGTTTGGTACTTTTTCGAAATTTTTGCTGCAGCTTACGCGCAAGAGATCGACAGTGTCTAGGGGGACGTGCTAGGACCCCGGGCCGCCCGGTGAGTGAGAGATACAGTGACTGCCCTCCTCACGGCAAAGCACGTGACAATCCTCTCTAGACATCTCAGATTGGCAAGCAAACCATGTTTCCGACGTAGAGGACATAGCTGAGAGGTCACAATTTATTAGCATAGAGATCGTAAAAACATAAAAAGAACCGTACGATTGAAGTCACAAGTTCAACAAAATAACGAAATAGTGGATATTCATCGTTTGTGCGTAGAGATGTAGAGCACGTTGTTTCCGCGAATGAACGCGTCACCATACTAAACGAAAAAGCTAATGCTATAGTTGACAAAAACCTTGTTCTGTAGTTGCCCGTTCGCATATTCCTCGGTTTGTTCTAGCGCAATGTTCATGAACCCATCCAGGCATGCGAGGATTCCTCGATAATCAACGCCAGAGTTCAACTTCACTACTACCGGCTTTCCGATGATCTGCTTCAAAAAATCGGATGGATTTTGCCGTTTGCTCATTCTAAAATCGAAGCTTGCGATAATTGTGCTGTCACGTCGACGAGAGGTATTTTCTTTACGGGGGCGGAGTTTCCATAGCAATCAGATAGCGGACAGATCATCAGTATTTATTCGAAAAAATGTAGTTTCAAAAAAAATCGGTAATTAGATAATTCAACGAATAGAAAGTCAAAGACCAGAGGTGTGAACTACAATGCGGCGACTCGTAGACGGAAAGAAAGCGTGCGAGACACTCCGGGTTTCGTGAAAATGTCGCCGACGATAGTTGTTCGTGGCCACGGGGGGTGAAAGTCGGGGCAGGGGGAAGAATCGCAACAGATAATCATAATTATCGCCTAAAAGGGACGATCGCTGAATCGGGATGGCGAAAGAAGTGAACGCGTGGAGTTGGTATGGGCTTTTTCAATGCGGTTATTGGGTAAGAGCTTCGAGGAATAACGCATATATACTTGAAATAACTGGGAAATTAATGGCTCCGAAAGGATGTCTCAATTTTCGCCTTGACCCGAATCGGTAGCACCTTCCTCTTCGAACTCGCCACCGTCACTTTCGTCATCGTATCCGTAGAAATCTTCTGCAAGAAGGAAATAACACATTCCTAAGTGAAAACCCACCAAAATCATCGATCACCTCGTCCGGAGCAGCACGAGTCTTGATGCAGTACTCCTCCAAGGTTTCGGGTACTTTGACTCCGTCCTTGGCGGCTTCTTCTTTCGAATCTTCCACTTGTTTCCTAAAAATACGATATAGAAATAACAACCAAATGATTTTTAAAAGCAATTCGAACAAATAACCTACTTGATAATCTGTGCATATTGGTCGTCCTCCCCGTTCTTCCACTTGCGGAACATCACCGAGGCATCCACATTGGCTGGCGACGACGTATTCGGCTCGTTGAGTAGCGAAATGACGGATAACAGGATCGTGCGCACACTCTGCGTCGGATTCCAGCGCTCGCAAGCCAGCTCGCCACTTTGCGGATCGTCCACAGGTGCATGAAGGATCGAGATACAGAGATCACCGTTCTAAGAAAAGGTTAAAAAACCAATCGATTGAAATTACCTCGTAAACATTTGGATGCCAGACCTTGGACAAGAACTTCACTGTCGGAGGAGAATATGGGTAGTTCTGAGGGAAGCGAATGGTCGCTTTGAAGTACCCTCCCTGAAAAAAAAACAAATTATTTTTGATCTGCAATAACGCCAATTACCCTATAGTAGACTTGTACAAGCTAACCTGGTATAAAGTCTGTGGCGGTCCGAAAATTCCGACGGTCCAAAGGAAGAGGTTGTCCTCGTTCGCACTGATTGTGAAGCCCTCTACCGGTGAAGTCTGCAGCCCCCTCAACTCCACGGACAGCGCACGCATCGCTCCCGACGAAGTAGAAGCGCCATCCATCTCCGAATACTGAGCCTGAAAAAGGATTGGATAAGTTGCAGATAACCTAAGAAAACGAAATATAGTGAAACAGGTCAACGGGGCAAGCTAGGCAGTAGCCACGATCTTAAGGGGGGGGGGCCCCCCCCCCCGCCCCCCCCCGCCCCCCCCCCCGCCGCCCCCCCCGCCCCCCCCCCCCCCCCCCCCCCCCCCCCTTTCCCCCTTTTTCCCCTGAAATTCCACCCCTTTTCCCCCCCCCTTTCCCCCCCCCCCCCCCCCCCTTTTTTTTTCCTCTCTCTTTTTTTTTTTTTCTCCCTCCCGGGGGGGGGGCGGCGCGCGGCCGGGGGGGCCCCCCCCCCCCCCCCCCCCCCCCTCCCCCCCCCCCCCCCCCTTTGCCCCCCCCCCCACAAATTTTTTTTTTTTTTTTTTTTTTTTTTTTTTCCCAAAAAAAAATTTTTTTGCCTCTCCCCCCCCCCCCCCCCCCTTTTTTTCCCCCCCCAGAACCCCCCCCCCCCCCCAAATCTCCCCTTTCCGACCCTTTAATGAAAACAGGTGAGTCGAATAAGGACACCAGAGCAGGTGGCTCAAGTTCTACCGAGAATCAATTGAGAGAGAACAAAGAAACTACTAGTTATCGGTATCCCGCCAAAAACATGGCATCGTCAGGTGCACCTATCGATAACGCTTTGGCTAGAGATTCAACGCAGAGAAAGTATGCGATCCAGGCGGTCTGGGTGGGCAGAAAACAAAAAGGTCGGCGCGCAGAAGGGCGAAGGATGGCAGGCGCATGCAAGAGGAACCGGCTCGCACGTGACGTCACAAGGCAGATGCCAAAGAGGTCATATAGCAGCATACCGTTAATGAATTTAGCCGAAAAGGCATTCAAGAAAGGATGTGCACACCAACAAACAAGAAATTATCGACCAGATCAATGATACGCAATAATATTATTGTGAGGGGAAAGCTGACCGGGGGCAAGGATCACGTGATGCGACAAGACCGAGAAAAGGTGTCAACAATTTGCCGAGAAACATGGCAGAGTGTCGAACCTACCAACCAGGAGTGAAATCAGGTTGCTGCGACGCAATAAATTAAAAATGTCCTTGGATGACAAATAATTGATCGAATCGTGCGTGGCATTTCACGCCTCAGCACGTCAAATAAAGCAATGCGGCTATGGGCGCGGCCAGGGTGCAAAAGAAAAATAAGAGGGGCGAAATTGCGAAAATAAAAAGGCCGCACGACCTCGGAGCCCTATCTCATCATATGGCTCCACGCGCCGGAGGTGCTGGGCCGAATGGACGAGAGGGGCGGCCCGAGGGATGGAAGTAACAGTGTGGGAGAGACGCAGACCACATGGATCACAACGCCAGCAGGCACGCACACGGACCGCTTATGCGACGAAATTCTACATAACCTTCGTATATAAAAGAACATTTATTTACCTCTAACACTGACCGAGATAACTTTTTGAACTGAAAGAGATTTAGCCATCGGAATCAACGAGAGAATGCCGTGGAGAGGACGCAGGCAAAAGCCAAACAAAGGGTAGGTCTCATGAGAAGATAGTAAAAATAGATGTATCTTTCAGCGGTGTTAGCGCAGATCCAAATACGAACCCGGGGTTTGGATTCCTAGCCACCTCACAGACGGACAAGCCTCCTCAGCAACCTTCTGAACCAACCGCCGGCCCTTCACAAAGAGGCGAAACAGAAAGAAATAGGTAGGAAACGAAGAAGAACAATAATCGAAAAGTTGAAATCGTGAAATTGATTTTGATTTGGTCGAAAAGCCCGCGAATTTCCAGAAAAATCGATGAAATTCGTGGCAAGAGAAATGTTTCCAAAATATACGATTACGAATGACACAAAAGAACGGAATGTGTCTTTGATGCCTTCGTACATGATGCTGACTTTGCTGAAAAAATCTTTTATTTTCACACTTCCGATTTTTTCTTCGGTATTTTAGATCTTCACGTTTTTTATGAAATTATTTTCAGGGGATCTCGACGTCCCAGAGGTCGTCGGCGAGGCGGTGGACACAGTTCCGGCAACGAAAACAGGGCGCCTAACACGTGGCAAACTTCCAGCAACGGTATTCCTTTCGCCATACTTCCTTTTGACTAGAATCTTAGGGCACCACCCTTACCGTGGAAGAGCCCAACGCTCGGACAACTACGGGATGCAGACTTCGAGTCAGCCAGCCTACTCTCCGTCAATTTATAACGGGTATTTGGGTTTTCGGCTTCTTATCCACGATATCTAGGTGCCGTCCGGTCAGCGTCGCTCGTTACGATGATGATTTCGACCGCTCTTCACGGTTTGACCAAGTTATACCTCGAAAACGAGCCTTTCCAGCAGCAACTACCCTTCCCACGATTATCGAGATGAAAACGTTCCTCGACACTATGCCGGCAATGATAGAATGTATATCGGCAGTGTTGTATCATTATCATTCCGCTGTTTAGTCAGCCACAATCACAATATGCCGACGGTCCAAATGTGACTTACGTTAGGCGCAACGTGGAAACTCCAAGCTATCGCCAAACGAACAACGGATCTTACTATGGATCGGACGGCAGAAGGTAGCACTATCTTTAAAGAGATGAGCGCATGTTGACCCCTTGGGGGGGGCAACGGTCCCGCGGCGTCTCGCGCGGTGCCCCGGGGGAGGCGCAGACTTTCTTTCCCTCGGTTCGGCTTGCCGCCCCTTCCTTAGAATTCAATCGTTTTAGGGGTTACGATGAACGGGATCCCGAATACTATCCGACAGGAGGACGCAGTGACAGCTTACGGTATTTAATTCCCCGTTTTCTATAAATCTTTTTAGAAGCAGCCCCTTGCGGGACTACCAGAGTAATGCGCCATATGACCGAGCTCGTTTTGATCGGTTTGTAGTTTTATGTAATATAGGAACACCTGATTTAGGGCACAAGATTGCTACAGTCCGCTTGTTCGGGAAGAACCTTTATATCGCCAGAATTCCATGGACCACAGAAGCAGCGGCCGCTACTTGGAACGCGATCCTTATGATCATCGAGACAACTATCGTCCTCAGAATCAACGGTAATTGTTGCTCAAATGTTGGATATCTATTTATACATTGATTTGCTGGTTTTCTTAATTTATGGAATGTTTCGCTCGGTTTTTGCTTAGATTCCTGCTTATTATCCTCTTTTAGGCAATCACCGGCCCCGCCGTTGCCTCAGAATGGCGGATATTTGAGGTTATTTTTCAAATTGTTTTAATATCATTTCCTTTAGGCCAAGCGACCTCCGCGCGGCGTCTGCAAGCTCGAGCCAGCAAACCGTGCGTAATATGGTAAACACTATAGCTTATCTTTTTATCTTGATTCAGAACGGTCATCAGACTCCCTCGAACTGGCGTCCCGAAAACGGCCACTCCTACTCGCGAGCTCCTCAAATGCAAAATGTGCAGCAATCAGCGTCTTCGTGCAGCCGCCCTGATGATGGATTTGTGTCCCAGGGGTACCGAAACGAGAAAGCTCAGGGGATGGGTATGATTTTTCGCTTTTCCTTAAAGGGCTGCCGACGGCATGTGACGTTCCCCCCCATCAACAAATTGGCAAGTAGCCAACAGGGCAGAGAGGGCGCCCAGGGGAGG